TTCCCACGTAGCGCGGTCCGCCATGGTAATGACATACAATCACGCCACGAAATACAGCGGCGTCGCTCCCATTGGGAAAGGTGCCCTCTGAATGGCGTCCAGGCATTGCTGTCAATTTATTACTATACGAGCCGTTTTACACGCAAGAGAATTACTCCGAAAATTATGGTCATAATTATGCCGAAAATTTGCATGGAAAAATATTGAAGATTTTCTCTACAACCTGTATGACACAAGCAAACAAAATTTCGGAGTAATCCATGTGATATTTTCGAGTTCGCGATAACATACTGGATGCGGTATTATTATTATTATGCTGACAATGTAAATCTAGAGTGTTCATGTCATACTTGGATTAGCATACGATATTCCCGGATGCATAAATGGTTCCCATTCATCAAGGTGTTAAGCGTTTTGTGCACGTAACCGTCTAATATTAATAAGGTAATCTCTACAATCATGGTATTCAGTGTCTAGACTATATTTTCCTTTCATACCGGATGTGAGCTTCAGAAACCGTCCAGTACGCAAAAAATGATTTGCTATTAGAAATATTTGAACAAAAACTTTAAAAGTGGACGTTCCCTAGTGCAGCCATCGATTCCTAGTGGCGTATACGACTTTTCAAATAAAATAAAAGTCACGATTTCACTCCTGGTTCAAGCTCGGATACGTCCGATATGTACGTTAAGCTAAAACTCTTATTAATGTGCTTATAATGGTCAGGAAATGATCATACTTCAACGGTTGTCCAATAATAAAGGTTGGGCAGAAAATATCATTAAGTCAATGACATCGAGAATGCCTGCAGCTCTGGAAATTTAGAATAATGTAACACAGTGCTGAATACGATCTGTTTATGTATGTATTGATGTATTATAGGTGTATGTAAAATTATATGGATCAAATAATCACAAAGCCAAACGATCCTAAATATCATTGTCTTTTTATCAAAAATATACGAGAGTTTAACGTCGCTAGCTCTTGGCGTATCCCGTTTGAATCAAAGTTATTTTCATTGCGCTCTAAAAAAAAGCAAATGTTTTCCTGTTCTATAATATCGTCAAGCTCCGTCTCAAAAGGCATAATTTTCTGATATAAAGTACGAAATATGATTTTCGTGGTATAGATTGTCGAAAGCAAGATAAAGTGAGGTACACACGCGAATATTTTCCCAATGGCGTAGGTACGAGTTATGATGTTGGGTCGATACAAAAGATTACAGACAGCGAATAGTCGAGTCACTAGCCCGAAACCAGACCTTTTAAACGACGGATAGTTTCAGCCTGACAGTCTGTCAGTTGTAAAGATCAAGTTTCTATATTCTAGAGTTATAAAGCATTAGGTATCATGTGTCCCTGCATTTTATTTCAAAAAACGTTCAGTCACTTTCACGCAAAAATATGGTGTTTATGCTTGAATGTCGGAACACTTACACTCTATCGAAAAGTATAAACACCCTGAGGCTGATAATTGAGAGGAATATGAAGGTAAAAACGCGCTCCTGGCCGAAAGTAACACTTGTTGCTCGAAAACATTTGCTGCCTAAGACCGCGAAAAATATGCTAGAATTGTTACCCACCATTGGGTGGAGGATGCACCTCACGAAGAAGATGCATCAATTTCATTACTCCGAATTTCAGCTTGCTATCTAACGGGTCACGTTCACAAAATAAGTAGAGGGACATTTTTGAAAAGCTCTGAACATCCAAAGGCCGCATACTACGATAGTGGTAGAAAGACGCCGTTTTAACCGAGTGACCCTAGTATTAGTAATTGCGTATACTTTGGATACTATCTGCATACATTTGCATGTAATGAATAACATGAATCTAAATATTGTTTCTTGTTTTAATTACAATTGCCAACCCTCAAAAAGGCGTTAAAATGGAGTGAAATGAGAGTTGTAAACATGCAAATGCAGCAAAACCTTCTGTTATTTAGGAAACATTTAGCTTCATAAAATTCCCTCTAATTGACGCCTTGTAATAATTTAGCCTTAATTTGATAACCGCACTACAAAAAAATGAACTGAATATCTTCACAATTGGTCAACAATGCAAACCCTCCAGGTCTAATTTATTATTTATACCTCGCAAAGATGATCATCATCTGAATAGCTCCCATCAGCTTCCATAAGAATTCAAGCTTCTAAACATGAAGTTCAATTTGAATTAAAACGTTATTTGTTTGAAACGTAGTAGCACCAGCGATAGTACTGTTTAAATTTCATTTTCTGTTATTTCTTTATTATTGTTTATAGATATAGGCAGATATCAAAAGTGGTTGGGTCTCTTTTTAACATAAAATTAACTGCTCCTGACGTTGTATGCTTGCGTTGCTCAACTCTTTCTACCATATATTTTTTTGTTTGACCACGTTATCGATGTTTCGGTTTAATTCTAGCTTAATTCTGCACTTATTTGGGCGCTGCCCTGCAGTGGTTAAGTAGAATAGCTATTAGCTCGACTGTTGTTATATCGTAATTTCTTTTGAAAATCAATAAACGGTTTATTATTTCATTGCAGTTGACGACCCGAAGGGACTACCGACAGTAATATGGTTCCATCCCGGAGACTTCGCGACAGGAAGCCCAATAATGTGGGACCCGCACACTGTAGTGTACCGCCAGAAAGTCATAGTAGTGACTGTCGCCTACAGACTGAATATTTTCGGATTTTTCACTACAATGGATGGAGAAGCCACGGGAAACTACGGACTGATGGATCAACAAGCCGCAATGCAATGGGTGAAGCGGAACATTGAACATTTTGGAGGAAATCCCGACAACATTTGCATCATGGGATATGGAGCGGGTGCTACCAGCGTTGCTATACATCTTATAAACCCGTCATCCAAGGGACTGTTCAACAAAGCCATTGCTCTAAGTGGTAAGTAGTTTATACAGGGTGCGGCAGAGAGGACGGACGTTTTTGGGAAATATTGTCCATCTCACAAAATGTAACAACGTGAAACAGACGCCGGAGCAGCTTAACTCATCTCTTCTCGAAGAGTCACTTGAACTAATGCAAAAGAATAATGCGTTCCAAAATTGTTTACGGCTTGATACTTAATTATTGTTTGGGTATATGATTTATTTTTCATTTTAAATTATCGACCGTGTTGTGTCCAAAACATTTGAACGGTTAGTCAGTGTATATCGTGTGCGTAATATTTGAGAATTTTGTGATTTTCCGTCATTTTTGTGCAAGCACCAAATACTGTTTTATTTTTCAGGAAAATATTTCTCGGCGAATGTGGTGAAGCTTCCAGAAGAAAGTAAATCTCTTTTAGACGAACTAGCGAGTAATTTTGGTTGCGATAGAAGACCTACTTCTCGTCTGATCAACTGCCTGAGAGGAAAAGAACCGGATATACTCATCAAACCGACATATGGCGTAAACTGGGGACCAACTATCGATGTAGACATCACGAATTCGACACCCTTCTTAACAGATTATCCTATACGATATTTCGAAAGAGGTGATTTTGAAAAAGTGCCACTACTAACTGGATATACTAGCATGGAACATATCATGGATATTGAGAGTTTGAAAAATATAAGTTCAGTTTCATCTGAGGAGCTAAGAAGCTTACTTGCTGATCTTTTGGCCGATGAAATATCAGCTGTAAATGATACTGAATCAACATGCGCTCACAATTATGATAATCTGGTTGAAGCTGTCATGTTTTTCTATCTTCCCATGAGGCCTGTGGATGACCCTGATACATTCAGGAGTGTTGTCGCAAATTTTATCACAGAAAAGTATTACGCGGCTTCGAGTTACTTATTGGCTAGTTTCATGAGTAGATACCAATCGACTTACATTTATAGATCTGACATTAGGCCTAGTACAGATAATGCAACAATTCATTTACCAAATTGGGTGAGTGTTCCTCATCTTTTCGACTTAATTTACATTTGGGGCGTCCCGTATTGGTCAAATGGCCAAGAGTGGCATAAGAGAGATAAGAGCATTTCTGACATTATTATGGCACTTTGGACGAATTTTCTAAAATACTCAGATCCCACTCAGTATCCCGTTGAATGGAGCAATTTCACAGAACAAAATCCAGGGATTTTGATAAATGTGAATGGTACTTTCAAAATGAGTGACTCGAGAGATGTCAATTACAAAGCGTTTGAGTTTTGGAACCACTATTTTCCTAAAGTTAAAACAATGGTTTCGCAATGTTGTGAACCCCTTGAAAATACCTCATGTCTTGCTAGCTATAATGTTTTGTTTATGTTGTTTTTAGTACTACTTGTAATAAATATATGGAACCCTTTATTATGTTTCTAATAAAAGTATTATATTCTAAGCATATCTTTGTTTGCTCAATTTACCCAATCAAAATATGAAAAGATGACGTAGCATGAAATACACTACTCAAAAATCTTAAGGCAGCGAGGAAAAAAAGGAATTTTTCGGTGATTTTTTACAAGCTGTATTTTGGTGAAACATGGTCGTATCTAGACTTTAAAAAAGCATTTAGAAGCTTTAAGATTCTAGTTTTCTGGTTTCTTAGCCGAAAAATTTCATGAGTCATAATATGGATCAGATAGCCCGTTTATTCAGTTCTCATAGCCTGTTTTCAAAAACTCGATGTGATTGGTCAAAATTTGAAAGAAATCAAATGAGCAACATTTTTTATCAAAACATCCTGTAATCCGGTTGAAAATGGAAATATAATTTTTCTTCTTTTGTTGTCACTATTGGATATCTCTAACACTTTCAATTTTCATGCAGGAAATATTTCAAAAAAAACAAAAGTACTCACCAGGGGCGGAATTCTAAAATATTCTTTGGGGGATCTCAAAGGCGGACTTAGGAGATCGATACATTGAGGTATAAAAAAAAACATTAGTCCAAAAAAAAGGAAAAAGTAACTTAGACTGTCTACATCCAGCATCGGAAATGGAAGGACCTCTGAAGAAGCTTGCCACTCGTGCTAGCACGCTAGCGAAACGTTAGGAAGAAATTCCATCCGGTCTAAAGACCGGAATCAAAACAGCAGTTTATCAACTGGCCGCGAAAGCCTTAACCAATTTGTCTATATGCAGTTCCCATTTGCAGTTATTTGTTAAACGTATGCCAAGGAATTTTACATCATTCTCTTGTTTGATGCGCCTCCTTGTGATTTTATCAGAAGGCTGTTATAGTATGTCGAGCACGAAAAGCGCAAAACTGTGATGTATCCCTGTTCAATACCCCTGACCCAGTCATGTACCGTTTCGAGCTCATAACTGGCAGATCTTATTAGACCAGAGACAGTGGGAGATTCGATGAGGATGGATGTATCATAAGCAAGTGTTATTGAAATCATTCACAAAAATGATATAAAGCGTGGACCCAATATTGGTCCTTGTGGTACACCGATTGTGCAGCTAAGTAGATTTAGTGCAAATGAACAATGAAACAAGGACAGCCGATAATGAAGTGATAACGTTGGATGAAGTTTCCTTTAAGCCAAATTTTTTAGTTTTCCCAGTTTATTTCTGCGACTTTGAGCGCCCAATGCGCCCGAAGGAATGCAATAAAACCAAAAAATGTTTTGCTATTAAAATATATTCGAAAATCGGTGTTTAACAAATCATTGATATCATAATTATAAATCATACATACATAACAATACACAAAACAGCATGTCGTCAAAATTGAAGATACAAATTACTGTAACTGGCACATATGGGTGAACCAGTGGCACATACAAACACAAAAATTTTTAGAAAGGACCTCAGTGATCACTGATCCATTCTGCTTCTGATGTACCAAATATCTTGTGAACATATCCATGTCGCTCTTTGAGATACTCGGTCCTTGCGAGGGACCTGCAGAAGACATGCATTCGAAGGCTACAGCCATCGTGTGCTTTTTCACATACTCAAAGAAAAACTGTAGCTCAGACATTAGATTCCTTTTGAAGTAAGGACGTTGGCTTGGGTCAGTCAGCGTATTCGTCAGGAATATTTGCTGCCCCAGAAATACCATGACAATTTCCAAAGTAACTCTGACGTTATTTTGATCTAACATTTGGATCCATGGGTCTGCTAGACCGGAATACTCGGACATAGCATATCGCAGATAGGTACTCAATTCTTGATTGGGCAGGTGGTCTGTCAACACCCTATGGTCTACAAGACCCACCCATCTAGTGGTATACTGTTTACCAGCATCTTGCGTGTTCTTTTCAGATTTGTCACTATGCAAAGCATCTAAAGCTTTACACAAAAAATGAGCTAAGCACAGCAATTTGCCGTAAGCTAGATTGTGCGAAATCGGAAGCTCGAATTTTGGTACACTGAAATCATTTGAAACTAATATAATGCTCGTGTCAGGTGGAGAAAAGTCGAGAAGTGCCACTAATCTTGGATTCATCTTGTACAGCAACGAACATCCATAGCCTGCAACTGTTATCAGCCTGCAAAAAAGTAACATCAACAAATACGTCTTTCCGACAAGATGGACAAAATATAAAATGTGCCGGAAGGTTTATTCAGCTTGCTAGGTGGACTGGTCAGACATCTGCTTATTTAAAATTGGCCGGTACGACCACTTCTTTATTCCTAGGATACCGAATCTTCTAGTGCAGGGCTTAATAAAACAGCGCTGTGCGCCGTGCATTGTGTCGGCTCGGGTGCGGTCGGAGTTACTCGGTTGGATCGGATAGGATCCCGCTCGGAGATACACAACGCGACGCGACGCGAATCCGTTTCTCCGCGCGCTGCAGGGCAAGTAGTACGAGATAGTGAGGAGGGGAACAGAAAACGGACTTCGAGGAGACAGCGGAGGGAAAATGTGGAGAGTGGAGAGGTATTTGCACAGTGCGACGTACCCGCGCGAGCACCCTGTTAAGCCCTGTTCTAGTGCATCGGATAAGACGTCATGAAAATGAATGGGAATTCAAAAAAAATATATGTATAAATATACCTATTCATTATTTCAACCATTAATTCAATCGGTGTTCGTTCTACGTATGCTAGTCTGTCGCCCTCGTCAAGTGCATAAAGCAGTATATCTTTTGGCCTCAAAATATTATATATACAAGCATTTATCAGTCTGGCAGCATACATCTGTGAACCAAAATAACATATTCAGAACGACCTCATGGTTTCAAAAAAACATCAAAGACACCTAACAGATGAAGCGCAAAGCCTCGCATTCGAAATGTAGCGTAAGCTAACTATTTACAATAAACTCAAAGGCTAGGGTGGAAGTGCTTGTCAAGATCTTTGCTGCCACCCAGTGATGGAAGCATTATTATACATCACGTATACGCGTATATGGAAATGAGTGACATGGTTTTTCATACTCGTATAACATTTAAAAAACATATCTCATTTTCGAAAATTTTAGCGACTGCAATTATGCCCTGCCTGGAATTGAAGTTAAGGAATATCCAACAAACGTGATTATGAAAAAAAAAACATGTCAGATAATTTCTCTCACGACTGGGAGGTTTTCGCCTCTGTAAGATTCATATCTTTACTGTTTAAAGATACTCACCATACATTTGTTGTAACTCAAATTATGTTTTTTATACCATTCATCCTGCCAGGTATCTAGAACTGTATCATAGAGTCTCAACGTGTTTGTGAGTAGTTCTAAAGCTTTTAAGGCAACATTTGTTTGAGGTATGCCCCAAATATGATCCAAAACTCTTTCAAAAATCGTTTGAAAATCATAAAAGCTTTGTAAGGCATTTACTTGGAACTTCACTATGAAGGCTTCCTTGAATTTCATCAACATATTTAGTGTAGACCAAACCTCTTCTATTGTTAAAAGATTCACCTACAAAGAAATCGTAACATTTTGCACCGAGTCAAGATATGCGATTTTGAAAAAAGGCGTCAAGTACGTTGACTCTGTATTTACTGCACAGCAGCAATTCGATTATTGGAAACATTCAAAAGTATAAAATTGACGTGAAATTTACGAATACTAACCCTTGTAAGTTCGTTTAAATACCATGCAATGGGATCTTCAATAAGATTATAGAACTGTTTTAGTTCAGCTAATAATGGCAGAAAATCTAACCACATTCCTGTGTTGATGTACAAGAACATACTATATATAGGTACTTTGACCATTCTCAACGTGTTTCTATTGTTCATCAAGTGTACTGCTGTATTCATTGTTCTTTTTAAATGGTTATGGTAAACGAACCACATATTACATGCTTCTACATTTTTATATTTAAGTATTTCATTTATTATATTGTAGCACATCATCCATGGTAAAAATAAAGCTTTCTCCCGGTGTTTCATATTCTTGTCTTTCCAAACATCTTTCTCAAGAACATCATACTCGTAGTCTATAAGGGGGCTAAGGTATTCTAGAAGTTCTAGCAAATCTGTATCATTCTCTTCAAAATGTTTCTTTAATTCTACAATAAGTTTATATGCGAAAGCTAAGAGCGTAGATCGCATGTGACTCCTCATGGTGCTATACCGAACCCTGACAACGCTGAACATATCTTTCACCAAAATAATAAGATCATCGTCTTTGTGAGATTCGTGTATCCCCCAATTTCCAAGTTGTATTAGTGCAAGATTCATCCAACTATCTAGGCAAAACATGTTGACTAGTTTTGTGCGAACTCCTCCTATTGACATTTCTATGAACAGCCTTTTGGTATTTTTGTCAAATTTTCTCAGATTTGTTTGCTTTTCGATGATAACCAGAAACTCTGTCCACACTTCGAGAAGGTCCTTTCGAATTTTTATCAGTGCCTCGTCAGAGGTGTCCGTTTTGAAGATGCCTATAAGATATCTTTCCCATAGCTCCATTTGTTTCTTACTAGTAACAAATTTCTCGACTTGTGCTAAGAAGATAGGATCATTTTCTGGTTCGTTCAATTGTACACAAAAAATTCTTATGATATGAGTGTACACTGTAGGTAGCTGGTTAAATTCGCAAAATAATGGTTCTGATAAAAGTGGCCAAAACACTTTGAGAGAAAGCAGTTCTGATATGAGATTATGTTTACCGCTAACCCACAGGTTTGCCATTACGCCAAGGATAGCGATTTGAAGAGGGTACCGCAAGTACTCGTGAGACTGAAAATAAAAGAAAATTTATAGTACAAGCATTTTCAAGCAAATATTTTCATATACCTTTTTTACATTTCGCAAATAATCTACCATAAAGTCACCAACGGTATCTCCTTCGATAGTTTTATCCCTATTGTCAGTATACCATTTTTTCGAGCTTTTGACATTAAAAAGGCGGCTGTCATTCCGTGTTGATGGAAAATACAATTGCTAATCAAATCTAAAATATGCATTTTCAAACTATCATCTTCAGTTGGGTCCCTCAGTCTATCCAAGAATACCCTTTGAACTTGATCATAGTCAAGCCCCAACAGTGCCATTAGTGGAGCATTCTCATCCTATAACAAACTCACCAGGTTACAGTACCAGCAGATGAAATGTACGAGAGTAATTCCAGACGTGAGGTCTCATATTATTTTTAAAAGTACAAAAACCATACATTTCCAATAAATGATACAATATAAAATCTTAAACATCGGTATACTTTTCTACTTAACAGCCATACCTATGCTGGAATAGCGAATACCTAGTAGAATAGACCAACGTTTAAACTTTATAATGATGCATATTTTTGGATATAAATTATGTTTGTACTTTAAAAAAAAATCCGTCAAGGATTAAGTTCGCCGCAATTTAAATCCGATGAGAAAATATTGAGTTGCGGACATTTAGAACAGAGAAATTACACGTATTCAATCAATCAAACAGGCTCATACAATTAGCCTATAGACATTATTTCCCTGTCCTACTGGTAGTTATCGACCATGCGGCAACGTTGTCTCTTTCCACATCTGCCCGGCATCTCTGCAACGAGTTATCTATCATTTTTTTTTTCAAAACTACAGAGCCTTTTCATCGTTGGCATAGCAGTAAATTAGCGCGGACAGACAGACGTAAATGAGTGACATAGTTTTTCGTGATGTAACATGTCATATAACAACCAGAAAACATAATATCTCAATTTCGAAATTTTTCGTAAATGACAATAGTGGTTCGTTGCTGCCTGTCTAGCAGATAGGTGAACTTTGACTACTCTTTGCCGCTGCGCGGGCAGTACCGACACAAAATTGTATAATTACCTTAGCCAGAAGTTCTAGAAATTTGCAAGATAGTATTCTTAAGCTCACAGAGTATGGATTTAATATATTGGCCGACACAACTCTCGATATTTCGCTGATGCGAACATCTACAGAAGATGGTTTCTTGATTTTCATCTTCTGTTCATACAATAATAGTAACATCACCAATTGCAATTTCATGCAATTTATGTAACTCAAGATAGGACCACCTAACCAATTTGAATCTCTTTCCATCATCTCTTGTAAGTGATGTTTGTCCTTCAAAAATATCGATACCAAGGTATTCATTGTCAAATTTTCAAAAAGGAAACTACTGAGGACCAAATTACAGATGTATTTTCCATTGTCCTGCTTGTTCGTATAATGTCTCAACACGTACGTGAAACAGGTCAGACATGTTTTGCAAATTAATGTTTTTTGATGTGGGTTATCGTAGTTCCACTGTTGATAGAGGGGAAATACTACGTTCAACATATACCACAGACCACCGGCTTGTAATTCCTTGTAGGATCTTTCTTTCTGAAAAAAATATATAACAGATATACATGGTGATTTTTAAAATAGCAAAATTTTTAATAGATCATAAAATCTTTACAAGCATAAGGCCTAAAATGTCCCCTTGTCCACATACAGGGTATTGTAAATATCTAGCCAGTGATAGCTTGGAATGGAGACAAAAAGATAGCGTATGAGCTAGCCTGAAAGGGTGCGGCCAATCGCCTTATTGATCCAGAGCCTTTCTGTGGCGTGACGAGAACACGGACTAAAACAGCCCATAAGAAAAAGTCAATACAATGGATAATATGAGTAAGAGCTCTCAAACACGGCCGTGCGATATCTTGGCATGGATATATACTTCTTTTCTCAAAATCGTAAATATAATTACATTACTGTAACTTGGAAAAGGAACATTTGAGGACCACCATTTATAGGACCTAACGGTGATATAAACGTTTCAATAATTGTGTTGATGTATTGAATTAAGATTACCTGAACAGCATCTAGTACAAGCTCAAGATATGTTAGCAGTAGTGAATGATCAGTGAAATTCTCTTCATCTTTTAAATTCTTCAATAACAAAGACGAACCATGAACATTTTCAGCCATCATCTGGCCATCGATATTTTCAAGATCTGTCACTTGTGGAAAACACATTTTTCTCATTAAAACTGGAAAAGCTTCGTAAAAATTCAGCATATCTCGTTTAATCAACGTAGTATTCAGCTTATAGTACAATCTTATGAGATCAAAGTTTTTAGCGGGACCTTCGCAAAACTGAATTGGAACAACATCTAGCCTTTGTACTAACGTTCTAATCTCAGTATCAGCTCGATAATCGCCTTTATAGTGTTCCAAAACGCTGTTGATAAAGTCAAAACCGTCTCGAACTAGCTCCTTCAAATTATTGTAGCAATGCCATCCAGTTCCAATTTCAAATGTTATAGTGTTCAGAGATATGATGAATTGTGACATTAGCTTGTAAAAACTGAATGGATAGTGGAACTTCGACATTTCGTATATTTTGTACCTTATTCTTTCTACTAGAGTACCTTCAGGGATCATGAACATGTGACTGTCAATGAATAGTTTGTGTGGTTTTGCCAAATGAGTTGTATCGTTATGAGAATCCCAAGGGATTTCAGCTAGGAAAGTAGGTATGTTTCTCAAAAGATTCATAATCTGGAATGATTAAAAAAAGGTTAAGACTACGAACATATTCTTGAGTAAGCCTTCAACTACTTTACTTACAATATCAGTTTTTTCTGGTATCTCCAGAAGCGCTTTACATATCACTAAAAATGATTTCAAAACGAATGGAAATATTTCTAATGCTCTTTCAAATAAAATTCCCAAAGTATCATCCAAGACAACAACTCCTTTTCTCCTTATCAACTCTGCAATTATATCATCAACCCCATCAATATCGAATATATTGCAGATATCACCACAAACTTTACAAACTTCCGTCATAAGCCGATATACTGCATCTATTACAAAATCACCAGCCTTATTTTTCTACAATGCAAAAACAAAAATTAAGTACAAAATAAAAGTTTAATGATTTTGTATTTTTTTTACTTACAGCAAAAATTTCATTGGTCATCAATCCATGAATGTTTCTGAAAACACTTTTGTCTATTATTTTTGTTGATAAAGTGTTGAGATATTCCAGAGATTCATCAGTGTTAACAACAGAAATTTTAAGGGTAGCCCAGGCTAAAAGAACTATACAACCATCCGTCTGACACTCTAGTAATTCATAACTCTCCTCTATTTCTTTTGGTAATGGTTCACAGACGCCCGGGTTTTTCCTAAAACGACAGTTCAGGATACCATTTAAAAATGATATATTTTCAATGATCACAACAAAAAAATTACTTGATTTACCCAATTTCCTAAGGTCCCCACAAAATTTAGACAAATATCAAGTAGAAGACTCCACAACTTGATTTAAAAAAATATGAAAAATAACTAAATATACGATTTAACAGAGTATAACGTTTACTTTGTAATATTAAACATCATTTACACGTTCATAAATTTCCAAAAACCTTACATATCCACGATTTGAAAAAATAGGTGGCAAAAGAGGACCACCCGTAGATAGTGTAAATCATCAATTAAGATTGTGTTTATAAACAATGATACAGAATATATTTGAAACAGATTATTTTTACATTCTTTTTTTGTAACTTGAAAACAGGTTCCAAAGAACAGTGGATAATGGAAACTAGTTATGTGACTATAATAACATCTAAATGAACCAGCCATTTAAGAAAATATACAGATATCAATACTTGCAAATATCAAGGATTTTTTTTCCAATAAAGGCCTTAACGTCAGTCGTTCCTACAATTGTAGGATGGTGTTATGGCATCCTTCATTTTCATAGGTTTTCCTGTACTTCATACTTTCTTTTTGAATTCCAAGATACTCCAGGCTGATCATGTTTTATCAGTCTGAAGTTTATTAAGATTTGAAAAGAAAGCATAATCTCGTAATAGGATACCGCTGATGGTGACATGGAACAGAAGAAATCTAGAATACCCCAGCCTTTCTGAAGGAGAGAAAAGACAATGAGAATCAAGGAGGCCATAAAGGCGTCCTACAATAATTGGAAGAATGACTGGAGATATAGCCCAAAGCTATTGGCAGAGAGCGCAGAGCCAATGAGAGCATGAATCGGCTTTAGGGGAGGGGTACGGTTTCAGCAAATTTCCTCTACTAGATACAAAAGGCTAGTGAAATATTATGAAATAGTTTTTTTTTAAATGTGAAGTATTGTAACACAAAATTAAAAAATAAACCTCAAATGGCATACCAGTAGAAATTCATCACGGCTAGAGTAAAACCAATTTCTGCAGCCTTTATTTCTGCTATATCCTTTGGTCTAGATATAACAAGAGCCCGAGCATGTGAAGGATATTTTCCAAAGCCATGCTTCAAAAATACTGGCAGGATATTTTCCAGCATTTTCCTGTCTATATTACAGTGCTGAATTGTGTGAATAAGCAGCAACAGTACTTCAATTTGCTCTCTATGATTCCTATGGATCCATCTATCTAATGCTGTTTCAGTTACCAACTGCGCTCTATCTTTATCCACTTCAACAATCAGATTTTTTATGACTGTCACAAGATTATTTGTTAACAAGTCCATATTTAAAGAGTTGACAAATTTAGATAACTGTTTATAGAAGATGTGTTTCTTGTTTGTGCAATTTTCAAATATATATCTTAACGTCTTCATTAAAAACATTCTTTCGCCAGAGTAAAATTTCCAAACAGCATCGATGAAATGCTTTGTGTTGGTATCAAATTTCACAATTAGCTTTAATTCATCAACATGGCCATAGTATTCAAACATAAGAAAGCTGCATAGTACAATCCATGCTACATTTACATCCAAGTCCTAAAAGAGTTTATATTATCATCAATAACATTCATTCCATACTGTTTCTCAAGAAATATCTGCTAAAGTTGAATAAACTACTACAGAAGTGTGCTGTTCTTGTTTGCAGCCAATACCACAAAGGCCAAACAACTGAAGTATTATCTAAAACACATATTCTGTTTGAGTACTACAACTCTGTCTCTCTCTCCAAGTTTCAGTTTTAGTATATATGATAATATTTCCAGGAATACAGAAGTTCTATTTCTAAGTAAATTATTATTTTCCTCAACTTTTAGGCCAAACTGACATTTTTTTCCTAATAATCCTTAACCAAGTTTAGTTTCTTGACTCTACCTTGACTTTACAGAAAAATAAATCTGCTATGCAAAATCAACTTCTGAGATTCCCTGTAGAGACTGAATAAGACTTAAAGATGGCAACACTCGGACAAAGCATGCAAACTATTATGAACAAAACTGGATCAACATTAATTTAACACTGATATAATTTATTTAGAAAGCCTTACCAATTCTCTGCTGAGAAGGTGGATAAAATTGCATAGTTCATCATCGCTTACAAGGTCTTTAAGTCCTGTTTGTCCCTTCCAAGCCTTGAAGCTTTCTCTTGTATACTGTTTGTATTCCAACAAGTTTTGTTGTAGCTTATTTTTATTTGATGTTAGTAATTCTTCTACAACCTCATAAGTGATATTTGAATTATCGCCAGATATTACTGGGTAAATCTTTTTCCAAACGCTGGAATAGATAAACTTATGAGAAAAAACGTAAAGGGATGAGTTTAAACACAAGTTCAGTTACTTACGGTAATATTTCGTCTACAAGTTCGACTTTATCGCCAGACATTTTGCCTTAATTTTATTCAATTTCCTGTGTATTCTCAAACGAATCCAACTGATACTTTCGTATTAGTCAAGTCCCATAATTCCAATTTGAGCATTCAGCAGCAATCCCAGCAACTAGCCGCAAATTTCTTCAAAAAAGTGCGGTTATCTGTTAATGTCAATGTCACAAAAATAGAGGACTGAAAATTTGAGAAACCTTAAACAACACGGAACAAACAAACAGAATATCCAACAAACTGTTCTATGATAGTCAATGAACGCTGTTCTGTGCCGTTATTCTTTTCAGCGTTGCCGCATATTGTTTTAAATTCGATATTTCAAAGACATTTTCAATTCTCATGATATGTTTTTAACAAAAAAAAACAAAACCTTTAACGCCGCTGGATATATACATCATCACCATCCAATATTTATTGTAGTTTATCATCCTCGAAAGTATCTTGAAAAAACTCGTTATTTATAGAAACCAGACCTCTGTAATGGTCAAAACGAAAATTGTGGTACCACATTTCAGATTGAAAGTGTATCAAATGTGACTGGTAAGCTCTGCATATTGAAGGTGTCTTCTCCTCTGCGTCTTGTCCCTATGACTTCCTTTCCTGTGGGGAATACTATTACTCCCACTAGAACTACTACTACATACAACTACGCACTACTGCTAAAACTACAGCTGTTACTATTTTTTTTGGTTGTGCATAATATGGCAAGTAGATTAAATACACACTCGTTCATGTTTCAATGATATACAGGGTGTAAACGTTTTGGTAGTCGTTATTGAAATGGGTAATATGGGGGGTCAGAACAAGTCAAAAAGTTCATATGACCCATGGTCCAAAAGTCAATAGATTTTCGTCTAAATGGCTTTATAGTTTACAACTTTAAGTGCTTTATATCGACCACAATCACCACAATCTTACTAATTTTTATAATCTAATCTAAAACGTTTTTAAATTGGGTTATTAACAAATAAATGGCATTAAGTTTTTCTAAGTTAAGCCAAAATTTGTAGTCAGTAAGAAAGTTTCATTAAATTGAGTATTTAAAACACACTTGACAACAGCGCGTCGGTCATCATCATTCTTATTGAACCGGCAATCGATCGCAAACGGTAACAGTGGCTAGTTATCCTTTTGCATAGTTTTGCGGCGTTGTCAGATTTATTTTACTTTACAGTCGCTTTTCTCTAAAAAATGCCGATTTGTCCCCCATATTATATGAAACTTTTTGCTTCTTTTAACCCCCTCTATCACCTATTTAAATAATGACTATCATAACCCTGTATGATGGAGTAGTTAACTGTGATATGAGGTAAAAACTCCAACCAATCTGGCAACGTTAGAATTATGATCTATTGACCAATAGCGAAACTGCCGACTGATCACATGTTTATTAAACCACCCCTCATTAACTACTTTGATATCTCGATTAAGAAGTTTCAAAATTGGAGCATTAGCAATCTGCTATCTGAAAAAAAATGGTTCTATTAGTACCATTAAATTGGTACTACTGTTTAAAAGTTTGTAGTTTGTCATCAACTGTCAATAGTGATAAAATGTTGTGACTAATATGGCGCCGCCCAAACAACAACAATTACAAATAATATTATTGTTAGTGATAATTTTTGTGACAAGTATCATAGGACAGAATGACCCTTATAGCCAATACCCCAGGGGATTTCCTCCGAACCAGCAGAACCCCTATAATGAGTATGGACCACAATTGCCTCATTCAGACTATCCCAAGACATATTTATACGAAGGAAGGAGATTTGGCCAAAGCGGCTATGGATATGGCCTAGGAGTGCCAGGAGATCCTAGAATACGTGGTCAAGATGAAAGTTTCAGTTACGACAGGGTAAATATCGCTTATATGTACAGACAGGAGCAAGGATAATTGCATGTTTTCTCCATGTTAAGGAGAATAGAAACAAGTGGCACCTGTGCAGAGCGGTAGTGAGTTGAAGTGGTTTGAGGAGTATTCAGAAACATTTGCTTTACTCACAAGACCCTATAAATTGACCCTCTTAAACTATTTTGTATGGCTTGTTTGAAAAAACAAAACGTATGAATTGTTTCTCAGAAAGTGCTTGTAAATGTTATATTTTTAAAAAGGAACACCTCCCCACATATTTTTTGTGAAAGTGATAGGCACTTTCTAATTATAAATATTCAGTAATATATACTTGTTCTATTACTGTAGCCAAACAAATCTATTGTAGTTATTATTCGTTATATCTGAAGAATACCTGTGCTTTATGTAAATTGAGGAGGTCAAAGATTTAATGTGTGCCATTACATTTTAGAAAAAAAGCCTCATTTAATTGCACCTTTTTGAGTCACAAAGGTATAGTAGGAAAAGTTTGAGAGGGGCCTATTTATTGTGGGACACTGTATATCTGGACAATGATAAAATTTTTATGCAGCTCTATAAATTCATCTCAGAGAACTACATTTTTGGGAAATTCTGTTTTATTTTTGAGTATTTCGGGACTGCAGGCAAGCCAAGGTCTAGGCACATACACCTTGTGCCAATGAACTAGATCTCATATCTAAAAGTACCTAAAAGACATTTACAATTAAGCTTGATGTGTATCAATCTTGCACTGCAAATTATAGCTCCAATTCAATAAGAATATTGGTGGCTAGTAGTCTATTGCTGTTTCCGATATTAAATTTGTTATCTTCCCTGAGCAGTCATAAACGTAATTTCTAGACTGGACATGCAGAGCCCAGGTTGCCGGGTATATTATCAGGCTGGAGAGAAGACCTTCAGGGTAAAATGCGAGAGCAAACAAGGGAGAAAGACAAATTTGTATTTGTTAAAAGTACATATGGAGACATACAAGGATTCCAAGTATATCTTTTTGATGATCCTGATCCAGATTCTTTATATAGACCCGGTGCAGAGTTTATTGAAAGACAAAAGGGAATAACATCAGTGTTTTTAGGAATCCCATATGCACAACCTCCTGTTCCACCATTAGGAAGATTTAAGGTAAGCATATGTATAAGTAAAATATACTTCTAATGAACTGTGTTTTTCTTTTCTTTTAAATTAAAAATTTAAAATAAGAAGCCCCTTATTTCAAATCAGGAAATGAAAAAATATCTGAAAGTACTATTTCACAAACATCATATATAAAAAATGCTGTATATTTTGGGTAGGATTTTTATATGAAGAAAAACTGTATAATGTTATTAACATGTTTCTATATCATGACTTGGAGACCTCGTCAATGAGGAATGATTCATCCAATAAAATTAATGTGGTTTATTTAATATGATACATAAGTGTGTTAATGACCTTTAGTATCTTTAATTTTTTGATAGTCCATATGTGTTGGAAATATTTCATATATGTTTTTTCTCTATAAAACAAAAATGGCGTCAAGTAGGTTGACTTTGCACTCTAGGAAGTTGCATTTAAATCTTTATACAAGAACCTATATCTCTTGCCTGAAACTTTTCTTTCCTAAAGGAGCATACAAAAAAGTTAGGAGGTAATGTAGTGGGGGATATCTTGTAGAAAAATTTAATTTCTATTTTTTCAGCCTCCCAGAGCTCCCAGAGGCTGGAAGTTAATACAAGCTGTCGATTATGGTCCAGCATGTCCTCAACCCATCCAATATACTGGGGCTACACTAGGTATTAGAGATGTTCATGAAGACTGCTTGTACCTCAATGTTTTCACCCCAGATATGGTAAGCAAACATTATTTAAATTGTCAAAAAATCTGAGAAATATTTTTGGACATTTGATCCATCAAATTAAGCATTTCTTTCATGACTTATCATTTCAGAAAGAAAGCAAAGGAATAAAATACCCTGTTATGGTGTACATCCATGGTGGGGACTTCATCCATGGAGCCTCAAACGATTTTCCTGGGCATATTCTAGCAACATTCTACAAAGTGGTTGTATTCACCTTCAACTATAGATTGGGAGCATTGGGCTTCTTAAGCACAGGTAATATTATTGAATGGTGTAACACCTTGAGATGTGCAAAAATTGTGTCATGTAGGTTGACTTGGTATTCTCCCTACACATTAACACCTTGGGAAGCTATTTGAAAAATTGCTTCATTTGATTTACTTTTTGTTTTAGGTGACGTAAATTCTCCTGGCAACTATGGCATACTAGACCAAGCAATGGCTCTCAGATGGATATATGATAATGCAGACAGATTTAATGGAGATAGAGACAGTATAACTTTGTTTGGTCCAGGAGCAGGTGCTGCCTCAGCTGGACTATTGATGGTAGCACCACAAACAATGCATATGGTTCATAAAGTCATTGCACAGGTATAGACTACAATATCAAGAATTTCAGAAAACAGTTATATGCATATTTCACCACGGAATCGTGTTCTTAAGCGTAAATAAACAGACCTCTCATCTAGAAATGAAGAATAGCGTCAAGTAGATTGTCTGTGTACTGCCTTGGTGCAAGCATGATTTTTCCGACTTTGGCGTTCAATCAAAACGTTGCCCAGTATAATTTTTCATTCTGTTTAGATGAAGAGCTATACTATACTATATTTCAACATAAAAATAACAGTTGAAGATTTCAAGATACCTTATTCAGAAGCTTCGTATAACTAGCGTTTTGGCGATTGCCATTTTGAAAGATGAATTTTATGTTACTCAAATTCCAGCTTACTAATTTGACTTGTCCAAAAATTAAGTAGGGGTTTGTGAAAAACACTCTGTAACGGTATTTTTACAGAGTGGATCCGCAGTAGCCGACTGGGCAATGATATCAGACAGATACAGAGTCCAAAATACGAGCAGAGTTTTTGGAAAACTGATAGGATGCAGCATACAATCGTCTTGGCAGCTAGTATACTGTCTAACGAAATCTAGAACCGCCTACGAAATTGGAACTGCAGAGTTTCCCCCAGAAGTAGGACTGTTTCCATGGGCACCAGTTATAGAAATGAATGTTACAATGCCATACTATGAAGGCTGGTATGAAAATGATTGGCATTTTATAAATGAATCTGTTGAAACATTGATAAGGAAAAGATCTTTCAATCCTGGACTGCGATATATGACTAGTGTTACTCTTCAAGAAGCTGCTACATTTATTAGTGAGTATACACGATTATTTTTCAACGAAACATAGGCACAGAGAACATAATTCTCCTTTGTCATGTTAGGGCAGAAAATACGCCCAACAATAAAAATGATGTTACGTTGATTGACTAAATACATATTGATAATTAATGATGCACAAATATGTGATTCAGTGAGACTTGCTGAATCTCAAAATGTTTTCCTAAAAATTGTTAGTGCATTACAGTTATCAAAATCTTTATATTTGCCGATAACAAATTTCCAAACATGAGATAGCAGGAGTGTCATGGACATTATGACTTTGAAAAACTTCAGTGATCACACAGAAACTAGAGAAGTAAAATTGCGTTTAGTTACTTCTGGATATCTTTGTTGCCCTAGACTATTTTTTATTCATCATGATTTCTTATAGCATCGAACAAATCACTAGTGCCAAATTTTGTGGTAACTCAAGACTTTGTTGATCAAAAAATTAGAGAATTGGTGCTACGATACAACTATACTTTGAACCCCAATGGAACATATGAAGCAATAAAGTATATGTATACTTATTGGCCAGATCCGAAAAATCCATATTACATTAGAGAGCAATACATAAAGGTGAGGTTTCACTTTTTTTATTGTGTACTTGAATATGATTGAGTTATGTAGATTGACCCGGTACTTCCCATTTAAACATATAAATCTATTTTAAAATTGTCAGTCTACCTACTTGACGCCGTTTTTGAGAGAGTTCAGTAACCTAGCCCCAATTTGGCTGGATGATTATAAAAATATATTAACTAAAAATTTTACTTTATTTTTAATTTACCAATGAATCTGCAAAATATTTAGAAACTGAACATTTGATGAAAATCGTAGAGTCAAAATACTGGACGCCATTTTTTATGTTTGTCACATTACAAATTGTGAGCTAGGGTTGTAGACTTCTCAAAAACGGTATCAGGTAGGTTGTCTCTCTCACTTGTTATCCATGTGATGCTAGATTAGAAAATAATGCATCGCATCATCACAATATTCAAATGAAAAATTAACTGATAATTTTTGCATGGGAAGTAGAGTGTCAATCTACTTGGTACTTCTAAAAGGATGTTATATGACATAACGAAAAACCATGTCACTAAGTTCCGTTGATCTGAAAGCTAATCTTATAACCGCCTATAATTCGACAAGTACCGCTCGGATTTCGTTGAAATTTTTACACAATGTGGGGGGGGCGCAAAAGCTTTGTAGGGGCGGAAAAAATATTTATTCCTTTATGTACTGAATATGTGTGACGTGGAGAGCCAACCTACTTGACGCAAAGTCTATTAAATACCCGAACACCCCGAGAACTTGCCAACCACATATTTTACATATTTTACAATTTACACATGGGTAATACCGAGACAAGCTACTTGACGCAATTTTCCGATGTTTTAGTTACTGACAGATTTTCTGTACACTGCACCCATGGACAAAATGGTAAAATTATTGGTAGAACAAGATGTACCTGTTTATATCTACGTCATGAACACGACGATAGAATCATTAAATTTGGAAGAATGGAGGAAAGTCCCCCACAACATAGAGCATTATCTTTTATGTGGAGCGCCATTTTTAGATGTGGAAATGCTACCTTCAAGAGAACGATTCAAGAGGGACCAATGGACTAGAAATGATAGGAATATGAGCCATTTCTTCATGAAAGCCTATTCTGACTTTGCAAGATACGGAAATCCGTCTTATACGCAGATATTGGGCATTCATTTTGAGGAAGCTAAAAATGGACAGCTGAAGTATTTGAACTTGAATACAACTTATAACTCGTCGATCATGTGGAATTACAGGCAGACTGAATCAGCATTTTGGACGCATTATATCCCAACTCTTGTTGGACATTTGGTGCCCACATATCCACCAACAACCGAGGTAAGACATTGTAGTTTCCTAAACACGGGACTAAAATTCCAGGTTAAAAAACGCTTCATTTTTCCACCATATTTAGTAAACATAGTGCCAAGGGCTAAGTGTCAAAGGATGATGTGAAATACTGTCATTGACAAACAATCAATCACCAATTCCTTGAACTAAAAATTGTTTTTTCTTCGAGGGTTTGCAAATAGTTTTAGATTTTTCAGAAAAGGTATACTTACAAGAACGTTAGATTAGTGGACGTTTCGGTATTTTTTTTATAATGTATTACTCTGAACTTACATGTATTACATATTGTAGAAAAAGTGTCAGGTATTGAATATGTATTTGGGATTACTAATAGATGAAAATTTAAATTGGTCACTACACTTAAATGGAATTTGTGACGAAATAGTTTCAATGCTATCTGCCTAGAGTTTATTTGTCTAACAACAGCAAATTTCGAATTTATAATGCCTTCTTGCTCACACATTTTAGGTACCTCTTGCCAGTATAGAGTATGTGCGGTGAAGTTAATTTTAATAAAGCTCAAGTATTGCAAAATAAAATTCTGACAATATTGATTAATTTTGATTCGGTTACAAATTTTGTAGATGGGGATGCAATTAACTGATTAAATAGCATGTGAGGTACAGAGTCAACCTACTTGACGCCATTTTTTCATATTGATCACGCTTTCTTTATCTTTTCAGTTTTGGTGGGAACCTAGGACACCCTTGCAGATAGCGTTTTGGAGCATATCAGGATTTTGCCTGCTACTGATTGTACTTTTAGTCGTATGCTGTATGTTGTGGAGTAACGCAAAGAGGTAAGCAAGGTAAATCATCCATTTTCATTATCATACCATTTCTTAGGATGCGTGAGGTTCTAAAGTTCATTTGTTTTTTTGTGGGTTGAATTTTGACGTCATACAAGATTTGCTAATCATTGGGAACTACTGAGTCAATCTGCTTGACTCTACTTTTTACTGACCTGATATGAGATTTTAAAGAAGTTTATTTTACCTCGTATTCATATTCTGCATTAGACTAACTAGTCAAAAAATTATATTTTTGGAAAAATGTATAGAAAATTTTTGGAACGGAAATATGTTCTTGAATGCAAATGGAAAGCTCCTCATCTAGAGATGCAATTTATTTTGTTGGGAAACTTTTTAATCAAACGTCAACTTTAGAAAAACCATTTCCACTGGGCATGCCGAATTGGCTAAGTATGTAATCGCGAAAAGTTTCGAAATCAAAATCTCTTAATAAAAACGACGTCTGTCTGTTATCTGTCCGGTAATTAATGAAAATGATAGGTTTTTTTAGTGTTTCTGATTGATTAAAAAAATATCTAGAAGAAATGTTTGTATCTGTAGATGAGTTTTCTTACCCCCCAATTTTCCTGACAATATTCTGAACATCCTGTAGCTGTAAATGACTTCCAGGTCGTCAGATAGGTACTTCAACCCGTACCTATACCCATCAGACGTGGATACAGACAACGAAGGTATCGAGAATAACAGAGCTTTAGAGGAAGTAAACAGCTACATAGACAAATATGGCGCAAAAGTGCTACCAGCCAGGACTAATAGTGCTTCGTCGTTTCACAGCACTTCTGTTAAAGAAATGCAGGTGTTCGTAAGCCCGGGTGCTAATGGAGAACCTCCACCAAGGAGGGGCACCCCAGTACTGCCAAGCAAAAATAGAACTAGATCTCAAACGCTTCCAGAAGGTGTCCCGCAAACGGACGTTTAGGGAGTCAAAAAATGTGTTCGTATTTTAGTGAATAAGAATGTGCCTACAGAATGGGTAGCAGAGGACGCATCCAATGTATATTTATTCTAAACTGTGGATTTTTCAACGAAAAATATAGCATAGAAGATTTCGAAAGAATCACGGAAAAATACTTAGTATTCTGAAGACCGATTGAATTTGTCATTTTATGTATATGTGTTTGATCCTTCATTAAAAGTGTTTATTTGGAAAAGATCTGTTGATTCATTAGCAGGCTTCTGGATTTCTTAAAGACTTCATCAAAGAAAAAAAAATGGCCAAGATCGCTAATTTTCAGAAAATTCAATCGATCTCCAAAATCTCATGTATCGTGCGCATGATATTTGAACCACTTTTTTAAATCGAAAAATATAGTCAAGTAGGTCGACCCCAGAGCTTTTAAAAAGTGAGATATTTTGGAAATTTAGCTTGAACTTTTGCCATCTATCAACCTCTATTAATTAATTTATAATTTCTGAATGTTAGCTAGATATATATATCCGTCCTTAGAGTATAATAGTACATAGTGCAAAAGCCTTAAGGATTTTTGAGCTTATATGTATGACTGTTTGACATGGTAAAAGCTATTTTGTATATATAATATACACAAAGAATAAAAGTAAAAATATATTAATCGCCAAGTGCACTTTAATGTTATAAGGGGCAGCTGTGGTATCAAAACGTTAAACAATTTTAGTATGGTATTATCAAGACAGTATAAGTGCTTCTCTCAATAACTATAGTACACACACAATTGCAATATTAAAATGTATACAGTAATTTTATATAATATTTAGTCCCCAAGCAGAGATGGGCATGTATTGTTAGTATTATTGTTGATACAAATGTTCGTGATTTTTAAATTTTAACTTCTAAAGAACCATATGAATATATTTTTAAATATTTAGGAGGGTCGCAGAGAACCAACCATGTTAAAATATATTTACTTCCTGCGCTATAGACGAGGAAAGTTTTATTATGATGGCAATCTTCAGATTTGAAGATACATCTTGGGACAGATGCATTTTAAGAGTGTTTTTTGTTTATCGATGCTTTTTTGGTCGATAAACGTCGCTAATGTTTGGCCGCCCCAGAAGTATTTTTCGAAAGTAAAACAAAAATAATTTGAAATTTAAGGCATTAACATTTGATTTTTCCATATTCCAGAGTTCTTTTGTTTTTTACTACAAGTAGAAGACAAATAAGTAAATAAAACGTCAATATCATAATTTTCAAATATAGCTTTAATTTGTGCGTTTGTACTTCGACACCTGCATTTTATTTTTCTATCAGAAAAACGATGAATGTTTTGGTTGGTTCTACTGTTCCAGATCAGAGTATGCTGTATGATGTGCCTTCTGGAGTCTGAACTATCTTGCATTCTAGCAGTATTATTGCTACCTATTTATCTGGTAAACAATTTTACACATTTTGTATTTTTTTGTAATGGACAACAAACCTTAATGCAAAATCAATAAATATTCGTGATGATCTTGTGTTTTTTTTTAGAACAGAAATTACGGGGATGTTCGGCGGTACCATCTAAAGGTTAAATTTTAAGCATTTGGGAAAAAGTAAAGTGGATAGACAGCTTCAAAATTCCATCAAAGCTGCCCCCGCTTTTCCCTAGCTTAGAAACGATTTTGGAAAAATTCGTTCACTTTTCCGTATTTTTCCGGAGATAGTCGAAGCGCCAAAACTTTTCAAATGCATTTTCTAAAGTGAATGAATATTCGGAGATCACAATGAGGAAAATATGACGATTTTTGTTTTTTTAAACAACTAGGTACAAATCTACATATTCTATAAAACTATGTTTGGCTATATGACAAACTTTTCAAGTAATATTGTGTAAAAACAATGAATATATGTGTATATATAACTTGAGACGTGGTCATTGTCGTCTAACAACCAGTTAGGTGAGAAAAAAAATCAGCCTTTAGTTGGGTACTTGGACAAGATTAAAGCGATGAGGATTCTTTATACTTTATTAGTCTCTAGCTTTAGATGGGCTATGCCATTTATCTTCAGGAGCTACAATAACATTAGGAAGAAATAGCAACTACTATGCAAAATGATTTTACATTACTTACAATACAGTATGTGAGATTGTTGCTAAATGTTATTAACGGTAAAGTTGAAGGAAACATTTAATAGTCTGCTGAAAGCTGGACCCATGCTACATTAGTTGAAAATGGTAAAAACACATACAGCTTTATGTCAGGAACACATTACAACGGATTAAAAATATTTGGAATGGAAGTAAATATGTTTTTGTGACGTTTCTAGATCACATTGCAACCACAATTTCCCAGATTTTTTCAACGCAGATTCCCCTCCACATATTTTCGGATTGGAATTTTTGGAATTTTACCCTCCAATTTGCTACAAATAATTACCTTTGTGTTTTTTTCCTAAAGTGCATTGTTTTCGTAAAAATGAAATATGAAAAGGGAAATATTGACAAAGATGTCCTAGATGGGATTTGCGATTAACTTCAGTTTTCAGTGCCGAAAAATCCTCATATGAACCCCGATCCTTTAACCTATCTCCAAAATTGCATATACAATTCTTCATTAAAAACAAACAGCATTTCTAAACAACATCAAACTTTAATTAAATTGAATATTATACATCGGGTAATCGAAATATATGACTAGTATTGCAGTAGTGTTACACTACATAAAAAGTTGATTGATTGTAATTATAATTAACAATAACAAATTCACTTTGACCATAACTCCTCTGCCACAATCCACAATTTCTCGTTCCTGTAAAATAAAAAAAAATGAGTATTTAGAACACTTGCAATAATTAAAGGATCACGCACATTATCCGAGATTTTGGGGATCTTTTAAATTCGCTTGTTAATTCTCTCAAAGAACCCACAAAAGCTTACGCTTTTTTTACTATTTTTAAAAAACATGTAACTCGCTCTGTCTATTCGCTAATCATTGGCTCGTTTTTAACTTAAGAAGTAAGATTTTGATTTACGAATGCGAGGTTTCCGTCTCGTCTACCAGACTGTTAATGGAGGACGAAAATTACTCACCAAAGGATGTTCATTATAACATCCCGTCAACCTTCTCCTTGGCATGTTGTTCAAATAGAGTTTCTGACACGGCAACAATGTTGTGTTTATGAGATTGATGTCAAATACTGGTTCTTTAGTTATTTGTTGAGCAGCTGTGGTGTAGTAAGCATATGACATTCTCGATTTTCCCCCGTTGTCTATTGCCACAAAGTATAAATTGCTATTTGGAACCCTCTTGATGTAATAATTCCTAAAAATAAATATAAACTCAGTTCAATGAACAATACCAAGAAGCACAAGTGGAAGATTGTAAACATATACTGAAATAAGGCAACGGCTCACACATCTCGCCAAACAATCGCCTTATTGCACACGAAATTTCAAGACCGCATAATTTCACGAAATTCAAATGTCAGTTGGCCCCCGAGATTGTGCGATTTAACACCTCTTGACTATTTTATTTGGGGGACTTTTGAAAGGAAAAGTGTATGCGAATGGTCCCCGGACAATTCAAGTCCTAAAGCGCAATATTCGGACTGAAATTGAGGCCCGATTATTCTGGGAAAAGTCATTGAAAATTTTGATGTTCGGATGTTGGCCTGTAAACGAAGCCGCGGTGGTCACATGACTGATGTTATTTTTCATACATAAATGGCATCAACCAACCTTCATTTATCAACAATCTTTCACTTAATGTAATTACGACTCACTTTAAATAGACACATGGAAATCTTAAAGGGAAAACGACTTCGGCCAGCACTGTAGATGATTATGGAGTTATGAATTTTTAACTTTCACTCCTCATGCTTCACAAAACATCAAGCTGTCGAAAAAATGCAACAGGTTCTATTCTCTATAAGAAGTAATAAGTGCCGCTATAATTTTGGGTTACTACTTTAGACGTTACAAGCGAAAATGTAATTACTTGAACATAATTCAGAATGTTTCTGTTCCTAGACACATACCTCACATACGGTCTGTTGATTTCTCCCTGAAACTGCCCTTTGATGAATATCTCTTGTCTCAACACAAACAGGTCCAGCTGCTTTTCGCAAGCATAATAATCATCCGCAGCATTTTCGAAAGCCTCATCATCATCATCGTCATCGTCGTCGTCATCATCATCGTCATCATCATTATCGTCACCTCCATCTTCATTGTTTGAATCTTCAGTAGGGTCCTCAGCGGCATCAGTAGCAGACGGAACGTCAGTGTTGGTTTCTGATACATTTTCGATAATATCTGGAAACAAGTGTGATGAATAAAGTAATAAATAACATCAACACCATTATCAAGAGTTTGATGATCATAATCTTAATGACGATCTTGATTTTGATGGTGTTGATGTGGGGTATCAACCCGTATAAGTTAAGTCACGTACCTGCTGTTACATTTATTGCTACCTCTTGTGCATATGCGATGACATAATAAAAGTCTGATGACTTGAAAGTTAACAACGGATACAACAATTCCATCGTTAACCATTCAAAGACTGCTTGCAGAACAGTCAAAGGCTGAAAGTAGAATTATTGGATTATGTAACAGTTAATTACGTAAGACTACAGATCAAAATCAAAATGTACATTTCTAAATATTTGACAACTATATCACATACCTCTACACATGATAATTATTTGTTAAAATGCTTTCAATGCGGTTCAAATGACTTTTATTCCAGATATTTTGGGCTGCCAATACAGAAAAAAATTTTACACTTTCTAACCCTAATATGATACTGCATAGTGAACAAAGACTTTTATACGTTTATACTATTAGTGATACGTACTGTAAGCAAACCAACTCCCCTTGATGTGTCAGGATTATCCTTTTTACACAATGCTTGGTAATCAAACACAGTGACTTCCTTGAAAATGCCCTCCTCAAGCATTGATTCCATGATGTCCCCCTCCACTTCTCCAAAAAATTTGCCAGTGTAATTTCTATCATCTGATACAATTATGTAACCTGATGCATCTATTATGTAACAATCTAAAGTATCGTTGCATCTTTGGCAGTGAGAACATTGATTCTGAAAAGAAAATTTTATTTACATCACAATTATGATTTATTTATATTTATAATTGAAACTGGAGAGAACAAAACAATTAAAAATAAGCATTTAATAGACAGATCTTATATTTTTTTGGTGGCAAAGATATTGGAGACAAGGAATTCGGTCAATACTGGTCATTGTTAAGGTTAGTAGGGAGGAAAAAATGTTTATACGAAATTAAGCACTTACCGATAGCTTGCTGGATATTTTTTTGACCTCCGCATATAATTTTGATTGAGAAAATTGGAACCCCACAACACTCCCTGGAGCCTCTAAGCCTTTTTCAGAAGGAAATATGGCAAAACTCCCAGTAACTAATGACTCTTCTTTTGTACCTGCATCAAATGGCACTGAATACACCAAAGATTCGTCATACTGATGTTGAAGTACAGCACTTTTGTACCATTTTTCGTTTATTGCCCTTGGATGAAAATCGCCGAATTCTCTGAAATAATTCGAAGAATGTTATTCAGAAAAGACACACGCCAGAAAAAACCTTAACTTTTAGCTAATTCTTTAAAATCTAGTGCGTTGTAGATCAAGACGTAGAATAAAAGTATCCCTGGACCCAAAGCTAGTAGTTTCTGATACAGAGCCTCCAAGTTAGGCAGAATCTACCTTATTACAGCCTTATTACACTATATGGAATAGTTTTTTTATATTCATGTACGTTTTTATCATCAACGTTACTGGCTGGTTCCCCAACTGACATGAATAAACCCACTTCAGTGATGCGAAAATAGCTGGGAGCTATATCCCATAAGGTTTCTGCCGAGACCCTTTCTGTTGAAAATATGCAAAAGTAAGTTATTACTAACTTGGCGGAGCTGCCTCTAGTATCATTTTTCGGTTCTTCAAAAATGTACCCCCATCTAGTCAAACCGCTCATAGTTGCTACGAATCTTAGTGATGCGTTATACTTTTCAAATAAAGTGTTCTCTCGTTGACTAAAGTTTCTTTTTTCGCCAAAGGATTCGTGCGTAATCTTAGCGTCAAATATCAGTCTTTGGATCAATTGTTCATCACAATAGTAGCTGTCTTCTTGTAATACTGTTACGTTTTCTTCATACTGGCTTTGGAACTTGAAGTCTCGATCATACATTCTGCCTAGAAAGTGGAGCAGTTCTTTTTCTGGCGTTGGAAATTCATGGCCCTCCAAATAGTGATATTTACAATACACCCTACAAAAGAGGGGGAGAAGGAAGGTCATCTAATTTTTTGTTATACATATTCATGGCTAACTGTTTTCTCAGAAGGGCTAACTTGTGTTAAATATAATGCTTTACGAACTGATGACAGCGTAACGTAAATACAGAGTCAACTTACTTGACGCCCCGGGCAAAGCTTCTTCAGATTTTAAGAATTATTCTGAACACACAAGTTTTTAGTAACCTTCTTTAAAGTTGACCGATTTCGAGTTATGAGCGATTTAGTCTCTGAAAACCTCCTTTAGAGAAAACACTACAGGCCTTAAAAATGATCAAAAAACAGAAATAACGTTATACAGTTAATATCGCGAAAAAGACTTCAGTAAACTATACTAGGTATATACTCTATTACCACTCATCTATATAGGATTTCTCGCTGTTTCGAGATTAAGAAATGTTAAAAAAACGCCGACTCACCACTTTGGATGAATCTTCCACTTTCCCGTGAAGAAGGACGTTAGGTTGATCCCTGTATGCTTATTTCTCAAAATTTCGTTTTCAACTTCTAAAGTGTAGTTGCCATACACGTGTGGAATTCCGATACCTATGGTAAAAGGTGTATTCTCCAAAGGCGTGTAATAATAATCATATGCAGATTCGTACACCTACGAGTATAAAAAAAAATCTACATTTTCGTTTTCTAAAGCGATATCACGCAGTGCTTTTAAGAAAGGTCCTTTCCTATTTATTTTTTGAACGGGTCAAATAGTGTTATGGAAAGACAATTTCTATGCTCACCCTTTTCATGTCATCATAATGGTACTTCAATCTCACTTTACGCAGGCTGCTTTCCTTACCATCTACCATATCTTGTCTCAGTTTAGCAAGAGTTTCAACAACTTGTCTTGGACCTATAGTTTCGTTAGAGTCGTGCTGTTCTACTTGAGTCAAATCTATACTGTTGTAGTTGTCTTTTAATATGCCTTGATACTAGGTAATTAAAAATTCAATTATTAATTCGTCAGGTGTCTTTCTTAAATTGGTTTTATAAGAAATTAAAAATGTATTGGGCCTCTTCTAGATTCTATATATTTAAAAAAAACTCCCGAAGGAAGTAACAAAAGATGAGAATAAAAACACAGTGTTAAATTCAAGAAAACCCGTCGAGGCTGCCATTTGTTGTTCTGGAATAAACAACTTCTATGACCTTATAGTTAATTTTTGTGAACAAATAATCGTAGGAAAAAAACAACCCCCACCATTTGAGGACATATCGGATGCTCATATACATTTCCCTATATACTTCACTCAAACGGCGAGGAATTCCTATTGGTGGTAACGTTTTTGCCGCACGAATTTCGTACCATGCGTGACAAAGAACTTTATTTTTGAGACGGCCCTCGTATTACAAACTAAATCTAAATTTGACGTGGATTTAATATGGGCGTATAAAAGACGTACCACTGGTCTTAGATCCGGATGCATTAAAACATACCCATTGTTGCTCACTATAAAAACATATCCATTCACTCCTATCTGAAAATGTGTATACTTTTAAATTAGCTCGTTTCAATATTAGAAATTTGGTAAAACCAAAAAGTTTACTATAAAATACCAACCTTATAAGGCACAGTGAGTCTTTCAAATTCATCTAGCGGTACGTCAGTACCCACGACCCCAAGCAGATAAGCAGTCCTGGTATCGTTCATTTTATTAGTCTTCGTGTCGTAGCAAGGTATTGCTGCAGACGTCAACAGCCTGTACGGTGTATTTATCAGATTGTCATTTTTGTCATCATACTAAAAAATAGACTACAATAGTTATTTCCAATCAATTTGTCAGCTAGTTCTCTCATGAGGTCGATTAGTTGATTTATTTAAAAAAATCATAAGATACATACGTTACACTACATATTGGTATTCTAAATGTATCAATGAAAAAAAGCAATATAATATGCCGTGAATTTCAATTTAGTCGAGTACAAGGTCACCTTGCATCCCTGCATCCAGAGAGGCGAGTCATGTTCACAACATTGCATTTTTAATGGAATTTGCTCGTTAGGAGAGAATGTTTTGCGTAAATTGAAGTGGAAAGTTGATGATGATGTGACCCTATTTAAAAGTATTTAACGTTTTGGAACTCGGAAGACTTATGTTAAAGAACTAGATAGTTAATAAACTGTTGATTGAATAAATGTTACAAGTATGAATATTCGGGTTAACTTTCCACTTCAAAATCCACGGATGTTGTCCTCCAACGTAATATATTAATTTAAATTTTGCTGTAATCACCTGCCTCACCGTTCTATGTCTAGCAGCACTTTATTAGCAAAACTTACTGTTAAATCAGCATAAGCGTGTGTCCAAGATACAGGATGCTCATCCCCTTGCAAAACTAATGGTCTTGCTATTACAGTGATATACTGCAAGACAGCTTCTGTTACTTGTTCTAAACTTTGGACATGCGTGAAATAACCTGTTAGATGGAAAATGTTAATAACTTGAATGCTCACTAGATATAATGAAATTAGTGTAAAAGTAGTTCTTGATAAGATATTTATTGATTACAGTTATTTTTCAAATAATCTGTGAATATCCAGATCGTTAATAATTGCAATTATCGTCAAAAAATATTTTATGAAATCCTACCTCTATTAGCACAGGAGAGTCGTTTTCCTTCAGCGACATTAGATACTTCTTTTCCTATCAAATACGTAAATATTCGAACAGGGATATTGGACCCAAAACGATTGTATTTATGTATAACTTCAGACAAATTTCCGTTAACGTCATCTGTTATCACCATTATTGCTTGATTGCAGCTACTGCTGTCTTGCTCACATCCTCTTTTATGTCTATACTGTGAAAATAACAATATTGGAAGTAAAATTATTTGTGTAGTATACATACATATATCGCTCTCTTGAGATGAAAGCATTGCAATCAGGAAAATCCATCACCTCAAATGCCAATGTGTAATTTTAGCACTGTACAGTAAATAAAGGAACAATGACTATTTATTTGTAACACGAGATTATGTTCAAAGTAATACAATATACCTTAGCAAGTAGATCGAAAGCAACGTCAAGTGCCTGAGCTAAAACAGTCTTGCCTTCAGGCTCTAAAGCTGAAATAGCATCTTTGAATACATTAATGTTCTCCTTAGTTGCTTGCACCAACATATCTTGAAAGCATGGTATGGTATAATTTGTCTTTGATGAATAGTTCAAAACATTTACGTAATCATTATTTGAGAATGTATCCAGGATATTGAAAGCTGTCAAAGAACCAATGTGATGCCCCATTCCTACAATTTTTTATTTTTAGCATAAATAACATATATATACTCGATGTACCACGAATAACTATATCGATCAATTGCTCGAAAAGTAGCTGTTCAACAAATAGAAACATTTGGGATTTCATAAAACTGATGGAGGCCAGTTGGATGAAATTTTTCATCACTTGCCATCACTTCAGGCAGTCCACATCTTTAACTGCGCTGTATATGCATTCGGCAAAAAATGTACGTTTGTTGAAAATAAAGATATAAATGTTCGTACACAAAAGGTGGCATGGATTTAAGCATATCATCACATCCATTAACAATGTTCGAAAAATCACCTGAGTATGCCTGTATAAAAAAGTATATAATGAGGTTCTATTTGAGCTTAAAAAACATCATACTATCTAAGGAAGTATCTAGTTGAGATGTGCCCCTACTCAATTACAAAGTTTTTATGAGTCTAGGTCATTCGCCATTAATTTTTTGTTATAAACATGTATTTTTTTATATTTACGTATTTATTCCTGCATTTCTGGATACGTCTTATATCATGTATATATGATCAAAAGTCAATAAAACTACCACTTATTGTCTGATGCAAACTTTCCGAATAATCAATTGATGTATTTTTTTGTGGGACGACCTTTATATTTTAAATCTTACCGTCCATGGATCCTGAATTATCCATAAGTATGATAACATCTTTGGTACAGGTTGCTGCTTCTATAAACCAAGTTCTAACACGACAATCGAATAATAGCAATCTTTTATCTTTTTTATCTTTGTCATCCCACTTTTTTGCTGAAAATAATGTGAAAAATCAGTCAAGATATATCTCAATTATAATCCACGGTTATGGGTATAAACCTACATCAGCATTTTCCTTTTTATTTCACTTTTTAATTATGTTTTAAATGCTTAATGTTCGCAAATTTGGCATTTTTGTCTAAAATTCACACATTTTCTATGATTTAAATTACGGTTTTCACGCAACACTTCCTACTTCAAATCTATAATAAATCACTCACAACATACCTATATAAAAATGTAAATCACTGAGCTCTCAATATAACAAAAGGTAAATTCTCATTGCTATATATGTAGTATGTAACAACTATGAACATGCAAGCAATGCTGTAGATTTGTTCTTTCCAATTCGCACAGTTTACACAGTTTAAAAAGATTCTATATAGCAGTATGTTGAGCCATTTGGTAATTTTAAAATGAAACTTGATTCCTATGTCCATGACCATTAAGTTGTGTAGTGAACCGCTCGGACTTCAACCTTAATCACAGCCTTCTTCAATTAACTAATTAGTTGAAGATGGCTGTGATTTAACCCTCTGCTACCCCCCTCTTCAAAAAGTTTCTGGGGCAGGTACACTTTCACGAATTGTTATGACTCGTCGATGATCCCCCTGAGAAAAATATTATAATGCAAACATTTCAAAAACGCGATCAACTTAAAATATCAGTTATTATTTTCAGGGCGGAAAAAACCTCTCTTAGACACTCACCGTTTGGCTCAAAAGTTACTAAATCCCTTGATTTCCGACGTATTGATTTTTTCGTTTAATTGAAAAAAAAAATAAAAAGAAATATTTTCTGCTTTAAATTTTCTTATTATCCTCTGTGTATATTTTTTTTTGTATTTGCATGTACTTGAATTTTCTTTTTTAGCCCTGGTTGGTTCTAAAAAACAGCTTGTGCTGATGTAATCTGCCAGGTAAAATAAATGCCATTTATTATTATTATTATATTGAAAAATATAAATATGTCCGAAGAGCTGACTATACAAATTGAGCAGCAACTATACTGGTGGATTTAAACAGCATTCCCCTACTTAGTTTCTGACATATTTACCTTTCTCTATAATACGTATATAGACTGGCATGATAAATACCTGGATAATGTCTCATGATGCCAGAAGAACTCCCAAAATATTGCCAAGACAAGGCTGGATCTCGTTCATAGTTTTCTTTAAATACTTTTGTTAGGCTTTCTGACCATTGAACAGCAAAAGCTGCAGATTGCTCTGTAAAAAAATATGTATGAATCAGAATTAGTGTAATCATACTCATATTTATGGCGCTGGTTTTCAAAAGTATGAAACTTTGAAAAAGTCAGTAAAATTCGAGCACTTCCCCTTATGTTCCTGTACTTACATGGCTTACCTTTGTCATAAATGTTAACAGGAACATGTACAGTGCTATAATTTGTATTTACGGCGATATTGTAAAAATGTGTGTCATTATTCAGCCTCATTGGTAAATACATATACTTATTTTTCCTCAATGGTTTTGGTAGTTTTACTGGTTCTGCACCTTCAACAGGTGAATATCTAGAGCTATGGTATTGAAATGGCGTAGATGCATTGAATTCGAATTCTTCTGCAGATTGCTCTGCTTTCACTTGGATATTCTATAACAAGAAACTTTATGTGAACAGAAAACAAACAATCGACAATTTTAACAGTTATGTGTAAAAATTTTTTCTTTATTCACAGCATCTCGATGTGGCAAATGGCCATGTGTCCAAAGTTGCAAGGCATTCGCCACACCATGTGGGAGCAGTTTAGAGATAATATGGCTACACAAGACAACTGTTGAAATGTATTCTACTTTGCACAATCAAAAAAAATATATTTGCCAGGTGAATACAACCCTGTTAAGTACCTGCCAGGCTAGCCTAAGGGTGTACAATATACAGGATGCTTCCAAAACATAGCAAAAATTAGCAGTATTTCAAAAAGCAGGTGCCATCTTAAAGTTGCAATTATGGCTTTGGACAATCTAAGCATGTTACAGGACTGTTCAACACCACATAAAAACTATAGCCATGACAGTCATGAGAAAAGATCGCTTTATAACAGGAAGCATCTGAAATGGTATCACTTACTTGAATGGCTCTAATTTTTCTGTTGATCATTATTGATATCTTCTTTTTGATTTCAGCAAGAAGTATTTGTGGATCTTTAACACCCACTTTGGCATTTGCAAAAGTATATCTCTAGAAAAAACATACATTCATAAGACGAATAAAAATTGGTACAATATTTTACTTGTTTGATTTCTGAGAACTGTGTTATAGCCTGCCCTAGAGTCCAGAGGTCTTTTCCAAGTGCGTCTGCCCATTTTGATACCCTAAAAAATTCATAAGTTAACCTGATTACATCCTGAACTGCAGTAGGAAAGCTCCACGAGTTGCATTATTTGAAAATAACATGTAATGTTTAACTTACTCTTCTCCTTGCAGTGAACAGTAAATTTTTGGGGTATTTAGAAATGAAAAAAACAAAATGAAAAGGTTTAATAACTGAAAATACATCAGCCCTAGTTATAAGCTTTTCTTTCCAACTCAACCATTTTCGATGTACGGAGATATATAAATATCCTTTTATATTTTTAGCTCATACACTGCCCATCCCAACCCAAATCGAATTCAATTCAAACACAAGTGTATAAATTTTTAAAAAGCTGCATGACGTGTTGCCTAAGCCAGATTTTCAAAAAGCACAATGCAAAAAATTTGAAAGCAAATAACAAATTTATACACATATAAAGAATTATGCATTTTTCTATATGAAAAACTGTGTTGCTGATTTTATTTATTGCTTTAACCATTAAAATCGTTACTTTAATTTGTTGACATTTGTCACAGTCAGTATTCCTAATTTGTTAAACCGCTCCCACACGATATGGCGAATGCCTTACAGCGTTGGACACATGGCAATTCTCCACATCGTGTGGGAGAGGGCTGACGAATTGCATGTGTCACATGGCAACTGTAAGCATTTGATAACTTATAATTTACTAAAATAGATATCCTAATGTTTGTCGCCGCTACTGGCTCTAACCTAAAACCATCAAACACATGACATCTCGTGTGGGAGCGTAACGAACCATGTTTCCAGCGTGCGAAACATGTGGCGAAAGTTGGACACATGCAATCCGTCAGCGCTCTCCAACTCGATGTGGCTAATGGCCATGTGTCCAACGCTGTAAGGTATTCGCCACACCGTGTGGGAGCGGTTTAAAGATAACATGGCTACACAAGACAACTGTTGAAATGTATTCTACTAGACTCTAGAAGATTATCTGTAACGAATTTTTTGCCGAAATCGTTGCACAACAATTAAAAAAATGCAAATGAAAATTGTCGCTTTGACGTTCTAATCTAACTGACTCCGTCGGTACCCCGGGATAGACATTCATCTTGACAGATAACCTTGTCATTCTTGCCACCTGGATTGCGGCGTTGCCAGCTCATCGGACGATTTTCCTACCTCTGCTATTTTGATAGAATGTTATAAAAAAAATAAGTTTTGAATAAAATATTGAGGAATCCCAAAGGATAAATATATATATATAAATATATATATAAAATTTGAGGCGTAGCAATGTTTGTCAAAAAATTAAACAAAAGCTGTTATGAGCTGGTAACGCCGCACTGGGTTGTGTATTTGTCATGTGTCAGGCGTATGAAGCGACAAACGTCAAGTGTGTCAAATCCTATTCAAACCTAAAACATGTCACCCACATAAGACGACATCAGTGTAAATAATGAACATTTGAGTATTTGAGACAATGGCAACTCAAAAGCCTGGAGAATGGGCTAATACATTGATTGTCCGGTTTGAAGAACAAGTGAGTCTTCATAAATACCAATGTTTTAGTGTGTAACAAGAATGTCTTCCTGTCCTCCACCTAATCAATATTTATAGTACAGATTATTTATTAATGAAATTTGAACTAAATGAAGTACTATTATTTTTAGTTGCCTATTCGTATCGGACAACACACATCGCATTCAAGCATTAATGAAGAAGAAAATAAAAACTGCATCATCCAAATATCAAGATTTAGATTTGCATTGGTACTTGATGGGTTTGTTAGGGTGTTGAAGAGAGTGCATGAATTTGTAAGTGTATTTTACATTAGTTTTCCAAATTATTGAAAGTTATATTGAACGAGTATGTGTGGTTGGGTATTGCTAAATGCAATATTTAAGATATGGTAAGGTGCTTGACATCTTCTGTTGACCCTTGAATATTTATATATCTGGTATATTTTTATTTGCACAGCAAGCCATCTGACGAACATGTTTTAAGTGTTTAAATTATGTTTTATAGCCCATTTGTAGTACTTGCCCAAGTTAATGAAAAATAAAAGTTTTCATTTATGCCATTTCATTATATTTATAGTTCATATACCTTTATTTACATCTACAGTAAATTGAAGAAAAAATAAAATAGCGATTGCTAAGAGAAAAAAACGTTCTTGGCATGTTTATTGAATTTCATCTATTTTAAGTGTTTTTGATGTTTTAAAATGGAAAATAAGTGAGTGATAGTTTGTGAGCTTACTTATTTTTACAAAAAATATTTAATGCACAAAATGATTAGTCTTTTTGAAATAAAAGTTGAAAAATGTTTAAAATAGCTCAAATTCAATAAAGATGTTAAGTTTGAAGCTCCTTAGTTGTTTGCTATTTTATTTTTTTATTAGTTTATAGTTAAGACATATTTTTCAATTTATTCTATAAATTCCATAAAATGATCTATGGTGAACTTTCAATTTTCAGGAATATGATAGGTGAAGAAAGGCACATCTTTACTCACCTGTTTGAGCAGAAGTTCTGATGCCAATTTTTGACATATTTCAGTTGATAATAGTAAACATATTTATTATTATTTGTATCAAGCACTTTAAACTGTCAGCATAAATGTACAAATTATACCTGTAGCTATCTTTAAAAATAATGAGCGGAAGGATATGAGAATCAACACTTTTTCCTTAAAAAGGTTTTGGGTTAGTACACTTTCACAAAAAGTTATCTCTTACAGATGATCAGTCCTCCCTAAAAAAATTCTTGTGAGTGCCTATGATACTTTTGATTATACATACAGAATTTTTTTTAGTTAACTTCAGTTAGCAACATTAAAATACTGAAAAAATTATTTATTATGTACCCCAAAAAGGAAGTCAGAGAGAGACTGACTCAGTCACAGATCATCATGTCTAGTCCTTACCAGCTCATATCACATGTAATCATACAGGATGATTAAAAAAACAATGGCAATATTTCTATACATAAGGCACATCAAAAAATAACTTAAGTACATATAAACAAAATGTTTTAAATTGTCACACTAAGATACAGGTTGTTGTAAATTTCACTAATAACACTGAAAACATGAATATTGTTCAAATAACAGTGATACTACAACATACATATTTACAAAGTACAACATGTTAAAGCTTTCTATACAGATTTCACTTCCAATATTCAAAGCAATTTTTCTCTAAAGCAAATAGGAGAAACAGGTCTATAGTCTAATTTAAGAACATACAATTTTTCTGTGCTTTGATCTGCCTGGAGAAAGACATTATGAGCTCTGAATGGCCCTGAAGGTCATTTTCAAAGAAATTACCACTAGAGTATTTTCTAAGGTAGAGTTGGTGGGAAATTTTGAACACCCTCAAGAAAGGGAAAGATTGGATGGAGTATATCTGGCATCAGAAGTTTGGGGTCATTTTTGTCTTCTATGTTTCAGTATCAATCTCAAATAGCTTCAAGCAGTTCAACACGACAGCATGGCCAAGAATTAGAAAAGAGTTATTATGAAAGTATCATTGTCATACTCGAGACTCTTGAAAAATGTTTCAGCATTCAACCAAAAGACTCTATTACACTCACAATGGAGGAAAATCAAAACTTGAAATGTTTGATGAAAGAAATTTGTACATTTCTGTATTGTAAAGGTGAGTTCAGCTAAAACAATTGGAAATGAAGGGTGATATAATTTCAGAAACTTTTTTGAATGTGTCGTGTGAGTTTTTGTGTTGACAGAGTAACTTGTCATTCGAGTTTTCTTTATTTTTCCTGTGTTTGTGAAATTAATAATGGTGGGCATATTTAAAATTACAGCTCAATTATTGAGATGGGGGTGGGGGGTCTAGATGGTGCATCAGCAATATTTGTTTTTTCACATATTTTGGGGAGGGAGCTTTGTGGAAAGCACTGTGCAGGATGGCCAAGATGAGGATCCTATGCATGCTGATCTCAATACCTGTGGTACTTACAGCTTAGGTTAAATTAGGAAAAACTTGCAGTTTCTGTGGGGGGTATTTTCATGCCATTGAGAAACTTGTAAAAATTTCATAGCTTACTTTGGGAAAAACTAAAATTTGGCCAAATCATTTTCATTTTTTTTTCTGACTTCATTTCAAGAAATATCAAAATTTAATGGATCGTTTCCATTGGCGCTTTTTACCTCAGTAAGCCATGAAAGTTTCTCAGTGGCATGTAAGTACGCCCTAAAGAATGCAGCTTTTATCTAATTAAACCTGAGCTGTATCTCCCACAGGTATTGAGATCCCCATGCATAGGATCCTTATCTTGGACACCCTGTATAACAGACTGAAAGTCTCACTTTGGGATGTCATAAGTCAAAACTGGACTGCAAAAAGGCATAATATATTTTGAATAAGTTTGAAATATATCATTTTTTTGGTGTACCCATTTCTGTTGTCTAGATTTTTTATTAATGATGATCGTGTTTAATTATTTTAGATATGCCATGTGACAATCCACATGCACAGTCAATAAAAATACTGGCTAGTAAAGTTCTGTCGGCTCTAAGTGTGAATTTTTTCAATGCCGTTTTCAACCGGATCTCATCGAAGCTTCAAGAGTTGTCATCCTGTCCAGACGAAAATCCCGACTTTAGTGATATTGAGTTGATCCAACACATAAATGTAGATGTCTCAAAGTTGATAAAACTATTTGTCGAAGCCATTTCTAAGTTCAGGCTGCTGAAAAAGTCGGCACATTTGGTACTCGTCAATTCGTTGGAAAAATGTGTTTGGAATTGGATGGAAAATTACCCGTATGAATTTGCAGAACTAGAAAAGAATCATAACGAAGAAATGTCTAGATGTGCGGATCAACTGTTTGATATTTTGGACGCGTTTGGTGATAACAAAAAAGGGAGGTCAGCAGTATGGTCCTTGCAGATGACGTTACTTGTTTTGGCACCAGTAAGTTCAAGGTCAAAAAAGTAAACATGAAAAATGTGCACAACCAATTGTAAATTTTAGGATATTTTACAAGACATCATAAATGCAGAGATTGGAGGTGCACAACTATCTCCTCATCACAACAAGAAAAAAGTATTTTTAGACAACATCAGGAGATGTCTTGGTCCACATAGCAACAGTAAGCAACTATCAGAAGCAGCAGCCGTTACTTGTGTTAAACTGTGTAAAGCTTCTACGTACATAAATGTGCTTGACACTCCCAACAGCTCAGTTGTTGCTTTAGTTCAAAGCGTCATTGGTGATTTGAAGGTGAGATTCCTCCTACTGAAACTGCAAACACTGAAACAAGATGTCAAGTAGATTGACTATGAACTTCCCATGCAGTATGAAAATGGCTTCAAGTAGATTGACTGTAATACTACCTACACCTTCATTGGAGGTTCTTGTTGTACATGTCATATAACATCCAAAGAACATATCTCAATTTCGTATTTTTTCGCGATTACAAGCTTCATCGCCAGTTTTGGCATATGAAGCAAAAGCAGAAATTTTTATCCGCGGGATTATTACGTCAAAAACCTACATAAACGATAATATGTCAACTTGTTGATTAGGTAGGCTAGTGTTACAAGTGAGTATGAAGTGAATGGCAACTAGCACAGGTTGACGTTTTCTAAAAAACCTACATAATGTCTCATGGGAAGGTCTAAGTCTATCTGCTTGACGGCATTTCTACAATTCCTGAGTATTGATTTCTCTTACAGGCCATCCTCTTTAATCCACAAAAGCCGTTTTCAAGAGGGCAGAATTGTTTGAATCAAGATATGGATTTGATGATCGACTGTCTCGTGTCCATATTTAAAATAAAACCTTTAAACAATGAGGCGCTAAATGTGTGTCTGAATTTGAACTCGCCCGCCAATTTTCACTTTGTTTTGGTGAGATCATTATATAGGATAGTGACTCAATCAAGTCTTCATTGGTGGCCTCACATAGACTTGATCTACGACAAATCATCGGAATTACGAACTATGTTCACAGATACGTTGAATAAGGTATCACAGGGTTATATTTCTCATACGCCACTAAGGATGATACAGATTACGCTTAAAGGAAAAGACTGCCAAGGAAAATACAAAGATAAAGCTGAAGAAGTACCTGGATATAGAAATTTATTACTTTATATGGTTAGATTAGTTCATGCAGATCCGATGCTTATGTTGAACAATCATGGCAAAGCAGGACATGAAATTCAAAGTTCCACTTTAGAATTGATCAACGGATTGGTCTCTCTTGTCCATCAGCCTACCATGCCTGAAGTGGCACAAGAAGCTATGGAAGCATTATTGGTTCTCCATCATCCCGAAAAGATTGAAATGTGGAACCCTGAAGCACCTATCAACACTTTTTGGGATGTCAGCTCTCAAGTGATGTTCTCAATTTCGCAAAAGTTGATACAACACCAAATTATGAACTATACCGAAATACTGAAGTGGCTCAAAGAAATACTCATATGTAGGAATGCATTTTTGTCAAAGCATAAAGAGTATGCCAATTTAGGAAGTTCAATAGCAATTTGTAAACAAGCGCATATAAAACTGGAAGTTGTATTTTTTATGTATTTGTGGAGTATTGATATCGATGCGATTTTAGTTGCTATGAGCTGTTTTGCACTGTTGTGTCAAGAAGCTGAAATCAGGTGTGGATCTGACGAAATTACTGTAACGTCTCTAGTTCCGAACTATCATGTTTATCAGGAGTTGGCACAAGCTTCTACGGTATTGGCAACAGGTAAATATATATTTTACTCATTAGGTTGAACGAAAAGTTCTGCCGATTTTCAAGTGACATTACTGCTGACATATTTGGGGTGATGCCGCTCAGACTATATTATCTATATCCATATTCGATGCTGTTCAGCGGAGGGCTATCCGACTGTAAACTAAACTAAAACTTTTTTAAGAGCTGCAGTGCCTCGGTATTTAGGTTTATTATTACTATTATATAAACAACTTTTACGATGTTTTCACAAGGATCTTTTTAATACTTGTTTAGATATCGCAGAGATCGCATGGTACTCTCAGTAGCTGCGGGCAAAGTATTCAATCCGCGACATCGTGGATGGAATGGAGGTCAATTGTTTTGTGGTATTTTATGACTCATTTTGCAGGATGCACCGTCATAAACACTGTTGAAAATCATTATAATTCAGTAATTTCAGTCTAGTTAAATATAATATTTTTCTTACAAGCATCCTCCAGTGGAGAAACAAGGCTTTGTTTCCCCGATCACGTCAACGGTAAGTTGTAATGAAGAAGATAGTCTTTTTTTCAGTGCACTCTTCGATTCAACAGTTTTTTACCCCCGCTGCAATGCTTCCGGTCATTAAAATAATGCTGAGGGTGATTATTTAATTTTAAGATAACAAGCTTATATGAAGATAGGCCCGAAAACGTTTCGTTTTCAAAATACAGTGTTTCCAAAATGATCCCAGGAGTTTATTTCTATCAAATATCCTGAAAATTAACTAGGCTGATTTTAACGGGGGTTTTTCCACGAATGACTCAACTGATGTTACTTATATTTGGATCAGGCTTTCTGGACCGCTAGTCTTCTGCAAAAAAGTATACACGTTATTATTTATTGCTATTGGTTCGGGTACCAGATATCATATAAGAGGCCGGATTTGATTTTCAAGAAAAACATAATTTCTTTTCGGGTCAAGCGAGTATTTATATTTCAACATGAGGAGGAATCGTTGCGATTAAACATGTAATAGGACATCCGGTAAAAGGCCACCACGAAACCTCTGGCACAGGGTCAGTGTTTTCTTAAAATTCTGGATAACGTTTTCGCACAAGTGTGGCTCTATTTCGTCGATAACGCGCCATATCTCTTCTTTAAGGCGTTCAACTATTTGTGGTTTGTTCGCATACACCTTTTCCTTCACATAGAAGGAAGTCCATTGGCGTTAGATCGCACGATCTTTCTGGACAATTTTGATCACCAAACGGAGAGATGACACGTTGATCCGTTGGCTTGATTTCTTGCGTCAATTGAACCTTGTACGCATGCAAGCATAGATCTTTTGTCAAAACTTGTTGCAGAGTGGGTCTGGTAAGGTTCAATTGTTGGCCACGATGCCGAATGGAAGTGTCTGGATTCTCGGCCACACTTTCACGCACTGCGAGTATATTTTCGAGGGTCCGACCAGGACGGCGACGAACAGCGGTCTTCATATTCAGCAACGTGAATTTTGTCTCAAATTTTATACTAATATAAAATACCGAAAATTGTACGTAATTTGCGAACTGTTTCCGCGTAATTTTCTCCATTTTTGTAGTGAGTTTTCACAATAATTATAATAATAATAATATTCTTTATTGCCAGCAAAATTTTAAAGAAAAAACATAAGCAACGTCAAAAAAAAAAATTAAATATTAATTAAACGTTGCTCGTTCGAATACTGCTCCATGACGTGGTCTGGATATGACTTTATCTTTGCCTATCCTCCTTAAGCGTGCAGAATTTTAGTAGATGCAATAGTTGTGAACTCCATATCCTTTCAGGTCGGACAGCATTACAGAAAAGGATAATGGTACTTTTACGGAAAATAGAACATTGCGTTAATGGTGTTCAACCAGCTTGGGAGGAAACATTTATGAATTGGAACCAAGTTTGTAAAAGCTTATCCTCATACCCAAAATCTAGAACAGAAGAAGGTCAAATAGAACCATTCCACCGTTCGGTAGGAAAACGGAGAGCTTCTCACCAAAACTCGGAACACGAACTTGAGGTAACGAGATATACATGGTGTCCCAAAAATAAATGTTAACTGCGTGCAAGTACAAGGGGATATGCAGCCGCATTACAACACGTATCTATTTATTATTATTTAGTTGTTTCACTAAACTTAGATATTGATATTTTATTTAAGGAACAAATAAATGAATGGGCAAACATGACAGGATTCTTGTGTGCTTTGGGAGGAGTTTGTTTACAGAGGAAATCACCGTCTAGATCAACATTAGTTAGTTCACATTCGAGCCTATCTTCTATGACAATAAACTCCATAGGAAGCGGTACTTTGACTGATTCACAGCCTATTAGTAGCACTAGCAGAAAGTCTAACACGCTGCAAAATCAACCACCGTCACAGGATCAAAGGCAATATTGTCCAGTTACCTCGTAAGTTGGGTTTCAAACTATTTTTTCAACTCTTGCTGCTTCTTGACTGTTTGGAAAGAGGAGGTATACCAAGAGGGGACCCTGCGCGGAATGTCTGGAGTTTTCCAGTCGCCATTATTGATATTGTCCCTTTAAATTCGAGTGGCACTGCGTTACTATAATATATATATATATATATATAACTTGACCTGTTCAAAAAATTAGTTGGAGGGGACCTTTTTAAAAATCATTGTATAATTTTCGTTCCAGGTTTGTTGATCTGCTGCTCCGCTTGCTTGTCTGCAACAACGAAAAATTTGGAGCACAGATCCAGAAGCACGTTAAAGAACTGGTAGGCAATGAAATGTCACCAGCTTTGTATCCAATACTATTCGAACAGATCAAGTCGATTATAGATAAGTTTTTCGATCAACAAGGACAAGTTGTTGTAAACGAGGTCAACACCCAGTTTATAGAACACATAATTTTTATAATGAAGAATATTCTAGATGGCACTAAGAATGACCCACCTTCAGAACATTTAGGTGTCACAAGTATTGAAGGCATGATGTTAGCTATAGTCCGATACGTACGACATTTTGATATGACCGTTCATGCTATTCATATAAAAACTAAACTGTGTCAGTTAGTAGAGGCTATGATGAGCAGGCGGGATGATCTCTCTTTCCGCCAAGAAATGAAGTTCAGGAATAAGCTTGTTGAATATTTAACAGATTGGGTGATGGGAACCTCTCACCAAATCGCTCCTCCAAGTTCTGGCGATGTGACTGTTATTACAAGAGACTTAGATCAGGCTTGTATGGAGGCTGTTGCGGCTTTATTAAGAGGATTACCATTACAACCCGAGGAGTCTGACAGAGGAGATCTGATGGAAGCAAAAAGTCAGCTTTTCCTAAAGTACTTCACGCTTTTTATGAATCTACTTAACGATTGTTCTGATAATGCCGAAGTGGTAGAGAAAGAAATTGGTCCACAGAAAGTTTATACAGGGAAGATTAGCACTTTACGAAACGCCACCATTCAAGCTATGTCTAATCTGTTATCAGCTAACATAGACAGTGGATTGATGCATTCAATCGATCTGGGCTATAACAAAGACTTACAGACTAGGGCAGCATTTATGGAAGTTTTGACAAAAATACTGCAGCAAGGTACAGAATTTGACACCCTCGCTGAAACGGTACTAGCAGATCGGTTCGAACAACTCGTTCAGTTGGTAACAATGATCAGCGATAAGGGAGAACTACCTATAGCTGTGGCTTTAGCAAATGTAGTGACTACCTGTCAGATGGACGAACTTGCAAGAGTATTTGTCACGCTATTCGATGCGAAACATTTACTGTCTCCTCTACTTTGGAACATGTTCTATCGAGAAGTAGAAGTATCTGACTGCATGCAGACGCTTTTTCGTGGAAATTCGCTGGGTAGCAAGATAATGGCGTTTTGCTTCAAAATATACGGCGCAAGCTATCTACAAACACTTTTGGAGCCGCTCATCAGCCCGCTCCTCGACTATCCTTTATGCAGTTTTGAAGTTGATCCGGCAAGGTAAGTCTGAATTTGATATAACCAACGCATTTGAATGGTATAGCAGCTGAACCTACACTGAGTGAACAGTAAACAGGGTGAATACCTACGTATGTTTATTAGAATTCAACAATTTTTTACATATAATAATAATAATATTAATAATTTTTATGGAAATAAAATGACCTAACTTCGCAAAATCATAATATAAATTTGTTGTCATTATGTTCCTGACATTGTGCTTTTATCATCGACGTACGTCCATTGAGATTCCTCAACAGAATCTCGTGGCACTAAAAGGAGAAAACGTAAATTATTATTTATATCAAGACAATTTCGGTTGACCTACTTCAGTTTGCATCAAACATTTTGTTTTCTCTCCACTATTTTGCATTTTTTAATATTACGAGATAAATGGTTGTTAACAACTTAGATTAGCATTGAGAAGTGGAATGAGATAAATCAAAATTACCTCACAACTGACCAGATAAAATCCCACTGTTGCAACGCACATGACTATAATATCATTCGAGGTCTGTAAGTTATCTCAACACTGAAATAAAATTACAACAGACAAAACTTTTACTGACAACCAAATGACTCGAGCGAGTTCAAACTTGTACTGAAGGCGGATAACATTTTCTCCTGCCTCGCTCCAAGCCCGGCGCCTCCAGTGTTGTTATAACGAACGCTACGTTGCCAGTCTCATCACTTAATTTACAGACCTCGTATACCTGAGTTGTCTAAAAAATAACAAGGCTGTTAAATAATGATACATTTTTCCTGTATTTGTGTTTTTGTTAATACGATTTGTAAATGGAATTGTGATAAATACTTGTGTCTAACACCTACTTTTCGGATAATCGATTGCTACAGTTCAGTGTGTGTATTTTAGGCTCGAACCGAATGAGGACATCGAAGAAAATCGTCAAAATCTGATAGCTTTAACTCAGAGGGTATTCGATGGCATCGTGAATTCTGCAGAAAAGTTTCCACCCCAGTTAAGATCAATGTGCCATTGCCTTTACCAAGTGCTGAGCAAAAGGTTTCCACAGTTTCCTCAGAACAATATCGGAGCTGTAGGAACAGTGATATTCCTGAGATTTATAAACCCAGCAATAGTCTCGCCTCAAGAAATGGGGATTGTTAACAAACAAGTGCCAGGATCTGTGAAAAGAGGCCTAATGCTAATGTCAAAAATACTGCAGAACATTGCCAATCATGTGGAGTTCAGTAAGGAGCAACATATGTTACCATTCAACGACTTTTTAAGATCACATTTTGAAATCGGACGGAGGTTTTTCATTCAGATAGCTTCAGATTGCGAGACAGTAGATCAAACATCCCATTCGATGTCCTTCATTTCTGATGCCAATGTTCTTGCTCTGCATAGATTACTGTGGAACCATCAGGAAAAAATTGGAGATTATTTGTCGAGTAGCAGAGACCACAAAGCTGTCGGAAGGAGGCCTTTCGATAAAATGGCGACCCTTTTGGCTTACCTGGGGCCACCTGAGCATAAACCTGTCGATTCACAGTAAGTTCTAAGGCTGAAGGTCTGTTCAATATACCGTATCATATTAGGATCGCGCCATGCAAAACGGTTGATTCAAGTCATATGATAGATGTCCAAATAGCAAAATTATATCTTGAAGACGTTTTAAAAACGTTTTTTTGAGATACTACGTATAGAGATGTCGTAAGGACGTGTTGTGTATGTATGATACAGTATAATGGGCCAACCAAAAACTCATATTAATCGTAATTTTGTATTTCAGCTTATTGTTCTCCACATATGCAAGATGGAGTTCTATAGACATGTCTTCAACAAATTTCGAAGAAATTATGGTTAAACACAACATGCATGAGAAGGAGGAGTTCAAATCCATAAAATCTTTGAACATATTTTACCAGGCTGGTACAAGTAAATCAGGTTTTCCAGTGTTTTACTATATCGCCAGACGATACAAGTAATTCCTTCATATTTTTACTCGAGTTTTATTTAATATTTAATGTTATGTTTTCAGGATTGGTGAAACGAATGGCGATTTATTGATATACCACGTAATTTTGACATTAAAACCATTTTGCCATTCTCCATTTGAACTCGTTGTGGACTTTACGCACACATGTTCAGATAATAGGTTTAGAACAGAGTTCTTGCAGAAGTGGTTTTATGTCTTACCAGAAGTTGCTTATGAAAACTGCAATGCTGCATACGTTTATAATTGTAACAGTTGGGTTAGGGAGTACACCAAATTCCACGATCGAATTTTAGCACCACTGAAGGTAAAAATACATATAGTTATCTCATTTATTTATGCATACGAGCTCTGTAAATTAAGTGATAACACTGGCAACATAGCATTCGATCTGGCTATACTGGAGGCGAGACAGGAGAACATGTGAACCAAATCAAACCTGAAACAAAAAAATCACGGAAATTGTATTCAGTCTGTCAGAAATCTTTTCCAACTCGTTTGACCTCTGTATCTCGCATGCACTCGTACGAAATTTGCCTAATATATGTTTGCTTTTTCAGGGTAACAGGAAAATATTATTCATTGATGTGCCCAACAAATTGAATGAATTTGTCGACCCCGAACAGCAAAAGCTACCTGGTGCTACCCTGAGCCTTGACGAAGACCTAAAAGTTTTCTCAAACGCTTTGAAATTATCACATAAGGATACAAAGGTTGCAATAAAAGTTGGTCCGACTGCGATTCAAATTACCTCTTCCGAAAAGACAAAAGTATTGTCTCATTCTGTTTTGTTAAATGACGTATACTACGCTTCTGAGATCGAGGAGGTGTGTCTGGTTGACGATAACCAGTTCACCATCTCCATAGCGAATGAGAGTGGACCTCTTAGTTTTATACATAATGACTGTGATAGTATTGTACAAGCTATTATGCATATTAGGAACCGATGGGAGCTAAGTCAACCTGTAAGTAATTCATCCATTTACTTTATACAAAAAATGGCAATATTTATAAATGCTTAGCATTTCTCAAATCTATCAAATGAAGATACCTAGAGCAAAATGAGCTTCTACAGGATTTCCCCAATATAAACATATACAGGGAAAACGAAATTTGTCCGACATCTTGACTTTCTAAACAGATTCAATCCAAAAATGTATACGCTCCAAATAAAACCATTATTCGGACTTAGAGAATAAACTAACGCGTATTTTCAACATGCTTCTTAATTCGAGGGATTGGTGCAACATTTTTATTTTCAGGATTCGGTGACTGTTCATCAGAAAATAAGACCAAAGGATGTACCTGGCACGCTTCTAAATATGGCATTACTTAACTTGGGTTCGTCAGATCCCAACCTAAGAACAGCAGCATACAATCAACTTTGTGCTCTGACTGCTACATTCGATCTCAAAATTGAGGGACAGTTACTGGAAACTCAAGGCTTATGTATTCCCTCGAATAACACAATTTTCATAAAATCAGTTTCTGAAAAATTAGCAACGAATGAACCTCACTTAACCTTAGAATTCTTGGAAGAATGCATCCAAGGGTTTCGAGTTTCTAGCATAGAGCTAAAACATCTTTGTCTCGAATATATGACGCCATGGTTACCAAACCTCGTCAGGTACTTTTTTAGTGTAGGAAAAACGTTTGATCTAATCCTAACTGAAACAGATAAACCAAGACCATCGGAAAATTGGGAAATTCTGTATGAATAGATGACACGATAAAACAAAATATTAATATATGGATACTACAGGGTGCGCCAATTTTTATGTCGGTAGGTAAACATGAAATAACATTGAAGACGAAAAACTGATTTCTATATATCGGGTATTTTTATTAAATATGGTCCTTTACAATTTATTGGGACTAGTTTTTGAACACATCTATCAAGTGGCCACCTTTATTGGCCAAAACAACATGTGCCCGTTTTCCATTACTTTTTCGAGCATCTCTGGTGGTATAGCGGCGATTGCCTTGAGTACTTCAGTGATCTGGGGCTTGCTGGCGTACACTTGACTTTTCAAATAACCCAATAAGAAGAAGTCCAGGGGGGTCAAATCTTTTTGATATAGACGTCCAAGGAATTTGCGTTGCAGAAACTGGATTGTTTCATTTGCAGTGTGGCATGGCGCACCGTCTTGTTGCAACCAGTAACCTTTTTCACGCATTTGTGGGCAGACATAATGAGCCAACATCCACCGATATCGATTTCCATCGACTGTTTCGTTTTCGTTGAAGAAAAATGGTCCAAAGATGGTTTTGGCGCAAACGCCGGCCCAGTCACTTTACGGTCATGCAACGGCATTTCGTGGATCTCATGTGGGTTTCCCGTCCCCAAATACGGCAGTTTTGCTTACTAACGCCGCCAGAGAGCTTGAAATGGGCCTCGTCGGTCATCACAATCTGCATCAAAAAATCAGGTTCAGCCTCAACCATGCGAGCGGCTGTTTGGGCGTATTCCGAGCGACGTGGACGGTCAGTTGGCAATATTTTTTGTGTTAACTGCATCTTATAAGGAAACAAATGCAAATCATCCTTCAAAATGCGCCGCAACGTGGTTCCACTGATGACAAAATGCTGATATGACACTTTTGGGTTCTGGGCAACGCTGTCTCTGACCGCTTCAACCAATTCATTGGAACGTCATGGTCGTTGATGAACGATCTCCCACTGTCCCGTATTCAAGAAAAATCGAAACCAAACGACGGATAGTGTTGCCAGACGGTGCCTGTTTGCCACGATATTTTCGACGATATGCACGTTGCGTTAACACAAGTGGACGATGATTTTCAAATGTACATTGTGACTATTTCGGCGCGTTGTTTCGGTGTAAACCGATTCATGACTAAAATTGTAGTAAATTGACGTTTCAGAAACACGTATAACCAAATCACTCGGTTCGTAGATATCAAAGTCATTCGATGTTTCAATACCGACGTAAATGATGGCACACCCGGTACAAATTAAAAAGCGCTTCAGATGACTTCTATCGTACGAACTTGGGGTATCTTATTCGGTGTATAAATATATTCTATCGTTTAGTGAAAAATTGGAAAGCTATTTGACATTTGCAAATTTAGGGTGCTAAAAATCAATTTTCTATATCGATAAAAATGGTCTGTATAACCAGGTAATTCGGGGCGCTAAACTATCGTGGAAAAAACCTTGGACTTGCTGCCGATTCAGGGATAAAATACAGATACAGACGCGCCTTTGCTGTTTCAATTAGGAATAGAGATAGTATAACGTATACGTATTCACTTCGAATCTTAATCATTGTAGATTTTGCAAACAACAGCAGTCCCAACCAGACAACGCACGGCAGAAGCAAGTAGCACAGATCATAGAAAAGCTTATTCTACTTACGATAGAAGAAGTAGAAATGTACCCCTCAATCCAAGCAAAAATATGGGGATCTGTGGGGCAAGTGCCGGAACTGATAGACATGGTGCTTGACAACTTCATCCATAGATCTGTTACGTCAGGATTAGGCTCGCCTATGGTTGAGATAATGGCTGATACGGCCGTAGCACTAGCTTCAGCCAATGTGCCGTTGGTTGCGAAAAAGATTATCGGGAGATTGTGCAGAGTAAGTAACAAACCACAGAATAGTTATACCAAGAGAAAACCGGCAGATTATAAAGACATTACACGAAGTGGATAAATTGCTCTTTGCTAAACTATAGTCTGATACCGAAACGGAAGAGAGTAGCAGAACACATTGTACGTCACTGTTAGCGGGCCATTGCGAGATTCGCCCTGTATAATGTTAATTTCAGTCGGCCTGTCCGCAAATCCTTGACCCATCTACAGCTTGAAAGGTACTGCCCGAATTTTGATGAAATTTTCACACAAGGTTACTAATATGCCGACGATCAAAAAGGTTTGTAATTTTTCAAAATGGGTTCAATGGCTGCAGAGAAAAATGCCAAAAACGAGAATGATTAAAAATCGCTCAAACTTCGCTTTTGAGGTTTCAGAGGAGCATGATCATTTTTTAAATATTGTTTAGAAAGGTGTGGGAAGTATAGTCATTCTGCTTGACATCATTTTTTCTTTTCAGGTTGTAGACAAAACATGTCAGTCACCAACTCCGCTGCTAGAGCAGCACATGATGTGGGACGATATAGCGATTCTAGCCCGATACCTTCTCATGTTATCCTTCAACAATAGCTTGGATGTAGTTCGACACCTACCATATTTATTCCATACTGTTACATTCCTAGTATGCTCAGGATCATTGAGTATGCGAGCCTCAACTCACGGTTTGGTGATAAACATTATTCATTCTCTCTGCACCTGCACTAAGCCACAATTTTCCGAAGAAACCCAAAGACTGCTACGTTTATCGTTAGACGAATTCTCTCTACCAAAGTTTTATTTATTGTTTGGAATTAGCAAAGTGAAGTCGGCGGCTGTGACTGCGTTTCGATCCAGTTATAAGCATCCCAGTGAAAGGTGGTTAGGTATGTAAGTTCGACGTCGATTTAATTTGAGAGAAAAAATTGTAATAATCTGTTTTACAATGGATTTTTATTCTTTTAAGAGCCAAAAATAACAAACTCCATCTTTATTTACACTGCGTTCCGTCGTAATTTGCGACTGGCATTGCGGCGTTGTCAGATTTTATTTTACTTTAAAGTCGCTTTTCTCTAAAAAAATGCCGTATTGACCCCCATGTTATATGAAACTTTTTGCTTCTTTTAACCGCCTCGATCACCTATTTAAAAAATGACTATCATAACGTTACACCCTGTATTGCGGCACATTAATGAAATTAAAAAAATTTCTTATAGGTACAGAAAGAAGTTTCTCAGGAACGTCTAGCCAAGACAGGGAACGACTGTCATTGACGTCACTGGAAGTCATTACTGACGCATTACTTGAGATTATGGAAGCCTGTATGAGGGATATACCGAACTGTGATTGGCTGACGAGCTGGACGTCCCTAGCAAAAAGTTTTGCTTTCTGTTTTAATCCTGCGCTTCAGCCTAGAGCACTGATAGTATTTGGGTGCATAAGCAAAAGCATCACCGATCATGACATGGTGCAATTGTTAAAGATTTTGGTGAAAGCGCTAGAAAGCTTCAACGATATTTTCTTAATTGAAGCACTAGTGATGTGTTTAACCAGGCTGCAACCAGTATTGAGACCGGAATCTCCTATTCATAGGGCTCTCTTTTGGGTAGCAACTTCAGTGTTGCAGTTAGACGAAGCATCACTATATGCTTCGGGATTAGCATTACTCGAACAAAATCTACATACCATCGAATCACAGGGAGTTTTTGACGAACAGGTTCGTGATCTATCCATTATTTTTTTCCACTCTACCTCAAAATTCTGAAAGCGCAGTCCGCGTTATTAATTCCGTTTCTCAACGGGTATGAATAATTTCAGAGTGGGCGCTATTCAGGTTTGAAATAGGATTTTTTTATTCATGGTATAAAAAATTGCTGCGCTTGTGGCCCCCGTTCATGTTTCACCCGTGAGCACCTAGTTCTTGAAGTCGTGATCTCGTCGCGTTTGTTCACGGTATTTGGCGACAGTCGTGATTCGTGATTTCGGTTACTAAGTTTCTAAGTCACAGATCGTGAAATATCAGCAACCACTAGCGCATCTTGTTCGCATTAGTGCACTGCTTGTGATTGCTGGATTATGTCGTACCATTGCCGAAATATTGTTTTTTTTTTCAGACCTTAGAATCGGTAATGATGCAAGTTAGAGATCCATTGGAATGGCATTTCAAGCAATTGGATCATGCAGTTGGGTTGAGTTTCAAGGCCAATTTCCATTTTGCACTGGTAGGCCATTTGCTCAAAGGATATAGACATCCTACACCTACAACGGTATCTAGGACAATAAGAATTTTAACAATGTTGTTGTCTATTGTTGCAAGACCACAAAGAAGAGATAAATTTGAAGTAACACTAGACAGTGTCGCATATCTTACAGGTAACCTATCACTTTCCCCCTAAGAATCGTCCTGTGAGTATTGCAACTTATCGAGAAATACCGTGTATGCTCTCCTCTCTAACTATATTAGCATATTAAATAAGTTATTTCTGCTCAAATCTAAATTAAGTCTTAGCATATAGATCATCTATATATCCTCATAGTTCTGTATATCATATACATCCTCCTAGCCGGTGTAGGCTTGGTCTCGGATTGATATTACTATATCAATGTCTAATGTTCTTGTGTCGTTTTTTCAAGCTTTGGTTGGCTACTCGGACGAAGTGCGGAGTAGATGTCACATCAAGCATTCCCTGCCACGTTACATGACAGATTCAGTGTCGCAAGACAACTTTATCATCGATAACCCACCTAATCAAGGCAGCAGTTCACATCAAACTATCTCAGGGAGTAACAGCACGTCCAGTAATATAAGTCGAAGACAAAAATCGTGGGATTCTATAGATCAGTCTATGTTACTGCAAGCCAGGCAAAAGCAACCTAATTATACCTCACATCAAGTAAGTTATTCCTGGATCTTGGTCATATGTCTGATATTTGAAAAGCTTCCATTCGCTTGTCACTGTCTGTCCAAACATTTCTGGCCCGCTGGCCAATAGGAGCGCGCGAATTTTGACATGCGTGCTGGTTCTTAGCAGTAATTATATATAATTAAATTTATTTCAGAACCGTAGTACGAGAGTATCTGTCAGTAACGAAAACAACGTACTGCTTGATCCCGAAGTATTGACAGATGCACCAACGCAAGCCTTAGTTTTGACTACCCTCGCTACACTAGTTAAATACAGTACTGATGAGACAGAAACTCGTGTTTTATATCAGTACCTTGCAGAAGGAGCCATCGTATTTCCGAAAGTATTCCCTGTCATGTAAGTATTCATCAGTTATGCAGTACAAACAGCTTTATGACTCGTCAAACTGATTTTTTTAAAACTTGATTCCTCCGTTGCACTTAAAAGATGTGTAGCGGAGTTTGCTCTAGTTCTTTCGCGTTTCTTCCAGATATCTTTATCTATATTGCTTTCAATATGTCTTTAAACTTCTCATAACAGCCGGGATGCCCTGTATTTATGCTTCGGTCTACGTAGCTGCTTCCCTATATAAAAAATCTATATATGTATATAAAGAGAAAATGATCATAGGTATATAACAAAAAAATAAGAAAATAATGGGCAAAATTCGCAAAAAGAAGGAAAGTGGATTCGAGCAGAAAATAGGATAGTTAACCCGAGCGATACGTATTTCTGCTGGTTGGCTTCATCAGGCCCGAAATGAATGCACATAGTAGATACACATTGAGATAATGGTGACGCGTTTATACTGAAACATTTTTTATCGTTATTTTCATAGTTACAATCTACTGGACATGAAAATAAATCACGTGCTATCGTCCTGTCATGATCCAGATATTTTGAGCGCTGTTCGTAATATCATCCAAAATATGATCGCCTGTGAAGATACAAGTCAACAGCAACTGCATTTCTTACAAAGTTGTGGCTTCGGGGGACTTTGGAGATTTGCCGGCCCATTTAACAAGGTTAGTAAGATCGATTATTAGCTTTTTTATTTGAATCAACACCTCTCAATTTGGACATCAAAACTCGCAACATAATTTGGGATATACAGAGTGTCCAAAATAAGGGTCCTATGTATGGGGATCTCAATACTTATCGGAGATACCGCTTAGGTTCAATAAGGAAACAGTTCCCCATATCCGCACATAATTCTAACGGATCCGTCAATGCCAGGTAGACAGCCATATTTTGTGTTGATTTTTTGTACACTACACATTCATTTTATTCGTGCTAAAAGCTCTTTTATTTAGCAAACTGCATTTGCTTACAAAGAAACATAACGTTACTAACAAGTTTTATTAGATTTACTCCCGATCCATTATTGCCAACGTTGCAGACTTAACTTAAAAATGTCACATGCTGATCAGCTGTTCACCTCAGCAGACGTCAAAGCGTGATGGAAAAGTTTTCTAACGTCAAATTGCTTATTTGAATCGTTGGCCTATTTGACATGGTCGCGAGTTATCTTAAGACGATTTGTTTATTTATTTAAAAAAAAACTGTGAAAAGAGCTGAACTCCATTCTACTTGGTATAAATGTAGCGTTTTTTAAATATTTTATGGCAGCTTGGAAACACCGCGGCCTGTCTTGTTATCTCTTCTGTCTGGCCTCAAAATTATCCATTTTCCTTCCAGTATAACAACATAGCAGAAAGTAGCGAACTGTTCGTGAACTGCCTAGAGGCAATGGTGGTGACATGTCTTCCAGAAGATAGTGATGTTGAAAACGGCGATCTCAACCAATATCCGTCAATGCTAAGTGTTAGTTCGCAACTAAACCTTTCCTCCAGTATGTCAAGTCTGAACCTAGGTTCGCCTAATGAGAAAGAGCTGATTAGAGATGTAGAAGGCGGAAGCACAACATCGTTAGGCCGACCTTCGTTTAGCAAACAGCGTAGCATCAAAAATAAACCGCACATACATTCAGAAAACACGTCAATCCATGAATAACACACAGCTAATTAGAAGAAATGATGTTCGTGCTATTTTTAGCGCATGTCCAATGTTATGGTTTTTTAAAGGTGGTATACGACTTTACAGTGGAATAAAAGAGAGAAATTGGTAAGAAAGCACAGTCTTGACTGAGAGTATGCCATTCTGATCAATACTTGTGATGATTCATTATCCTAAGTTGGAAGTCGCCAACCTAGACTCTTTGAATGAATGGCTGAATAGGTTAATCAAACTTAAAATATTGAAAGACAGCCTCGGATATCTAAGATTTTTTTTTGTTTTTGATCTTCAAATATATAAAATTGATAAGGATCGCTGAGATTATGCCCAGCAATGGGAGACAATTGATTGGAGGTAAACGACGTGGTTTTTGTGTCAAAATATCAACCTTTTATGGGTAGGTATTTACTTTTTCGCATGTTCTGAAAGATCTTAACTGTGGATATGTGCTATATACTTTTGTGTTCATTATATTTGTTAAATGGTTTGACCCAGTGTAGATTGAATGTTATTAAGACTGCTATATGTTTACTTATCATATAAACATTTCTTCTGGATATGTGTATGAGAATTATATTCTAAATTAAAAATACGTGGAAACTAATGTACAAACATTTTATTGTCATTTTATGAGTTATTAGGTGTATTTTGTATATACGTATTATATATTTATTTTTACTTTTTTAAAATACATTTATTTCGCATTAAAACTGCTGCATTTAATAAAGTCTTTAAACATGATATCCCAGGAATGTGTTTCGAAGATGAGATGTTAACGGTTGGAATCAGCTGTAAAAAAGCTGAACTGACATACTGACTAAACCAAGAAGACAAACTCATATCCTATGGCCTCCCAGAGGAGCTTTGCAGATGGCTGGCTGCAAGATATTATTAGCAATTGACGGGTTCTCTTCATCCCACAATGTCAACTCGGGTGTTCCCGAGGGATCAGTCCTGGTTCCGGCATTGTTCCTCTTAAGCCGCGTACTGACCGAGATGCCAAGGCACATACAGGGTTTTTCCGGAAAGTAATAGGACTGAGTCGATTTAAAAAAATTATTCAGCCAATCGTTACAATTCTTTAAAAACTTTCAAAATAGGCTCCTTCTGCGTCGATGCAGCGCTGCCAGCGCGATTTCCAAGCATTGAAGGCGTCACGGAAGGCATTTTCCGGAATAGCCTTGAGAGCCGCGGTGCATGCTGCTTGGATCCCCTCTGTCGTCTCAAAATGCTTGCTTGAAAGGCGGTGTGAGCCGGGGCGTTGTGGTGGTGAGGTGGTGGAACTTTCAGTCGACTGCGATGTCTGGATGAAGTGGTGTTTGTTGAAACACATAAGGGTTTTCACCTGTATAATGTTCATTGTATTGACCTGCCGTGCTCGTATGCAACCATCGATATTCAACCAAGAATGGGAGCTGTTTCATTGTTTATATTAAAATTTTGAAAAAAAGGACACACTGAACAATCATTATTGTTTGATGTGATATTAGTTGATAACCTGCACAAACATAGAAGTATTACCATGAACATACATTTTAGTCTATCCAATTCCAAGATAGAGTAAAAAGTAAAAACAAAGCAACGTCGCCCGTTAATATTCCCAAGACCGCCCAACAGCAGGTGGACTGGCTAGCTTTCATTGGCGAATTGGATGTCGGCGTCTGGACCGACGCTGTGCCTGCCGTACCGCCGTACCGCCGTACCGCTGCCGCTTCGGTGCACGTTTAAGCAGTAGTACAGAGCTGCAATCAGGGATCAGGCATTAGAGTGGCATCGTACGTGCTATATTCCTTCTTGGTGTGATTTTGCGGTTTCCATTTGTTGCTAGGTTTTGTTTATTTTCGTCGAATTTGATGTTCTTATTATTGTTACTTGTTATAGTTATACAGGGTGGCACATCGAAAACGAAACAGACGCATTTACTGGCAGCTCAGTGGAATATACCATGGTTAATTTATGTAATAAAGCGTTACAAGTTATTTTAGCAACAAAGTTTGGACAAATCAATCGCAAACTATGTACTAAATTCCTATTTAAAATAAGTACGAGATATTTCCTTATCTTTCTTCAAGAAATAACTTTTTTGCCACAAAAAAACGCTCAATAGCTATTTTCAACAACAAAATGATAAACAAACCATTGGCGTAGTAAAGAAAAGCATTTACTTATTAAGTAAATTCTTTTAGTCAAATTTCTTCTGAAAGTAGTACAAAGTACTCGTAATTGATGTACCTACTAAAATCTACTTTAAGCTTTAAATCAATAAATGTTCAAAACTACTGAACTGAAGCTCATGTATTTTACATTATTATAAAGGGAATTGAAAGACCTTTAAAATAAGGTATCACTCGACCCCCTTTCCATTTCAGATTTTAGGGTTGGTGTCACCCCCGCCCAGGAGGCTGCACGTGTTAACGTGAATTTGTGCCAAACTTGCATCTGCTGAGTCCGGGAAGAAGAGTTGCAATCTAACAGCCATCGGTTACATCAGCAAGTGGTTATCACTTCCAAGTAATTTTTTTTACCGGCATTTTGCTTGTGAAACATGCTTAACTAAGTAATAACATCTGTAATCAACAAATGTTGGAATCATTAATTCATCGCCAGCCTCCCCTGAATACGCCCCTGACTAATTCAGGCGGCACACGACTGTGTCATCAACTCTTCAACGACTTCTTCACCCTATCTTGGGGTTAGAGTTAGATGGAGTTTCGGTATTGAGAAACCCCGCGGAGTTACGTTCTCACTACGATAGGTATATCGCGATCATTGTTTTTGAGGAAGTAGTGAAATTAAACATTCATATTGTGTTAAAAATGATGCGGTTGACAAACTTCCGAGAAAAAGACAATCTAAAAATATGCAACGAAATTTGGTTCGGCTTGTGGTTTTGAATTCGAATCCAAGGGTGACCGGAACCATCAGCGCATAGTAGGATGAGAAGACAGGGCTGCCCTTAAAACTTGTGTGTTATATGAATGGTAAGTGCTTTTTCCATATTTATACAATTTCTCTGTTTCTGAAAGAGTCGAATCTTTCGTTTTACACCAACTGCAACATCCCGTATGACTTATTTGCGATAGCTAAAATTTCAGCAATATGGTGAATGCGCCAGTAACCTGGACATTACCAATAGTCGGATAAATGTAAAACTTGGATATATGTAATCCTATAGTTGCTGGTAATTGGTAGGTACCAGATTTATCAACTAATTTATGACAGACATAAGACAGATAAAATTGTTTTAAAAACTTTATTATAAAATCTAAAAGAGGAAAACATAAAACTATAAGAAGAAAATAATGAAAATAAGAACTTCAGTCTTTATGCACACATCATACCATTTGGAAAAGATTTCAGAGTAAACAACATTAATCATTCATATTTAACCATTGACTTTGGAGCGCTACAGATGCTGTAAAACGAAGTGCAGGATCAGGTTCGATAAGGCTTTCCAGGAATCCCGCGAAAGGAATAGCTTCTACTCTTTTCCACTTATACTTCTCCACTAACACGTCTTCTATCCTCCAAATTCTGAGTAGAGCTTTCTGGATGCCTATTAGTTCTCCTGCAAATTTTAGATCAATCAGTAGAATTCTCCTCAAATTTCAGCTTGCTTACTAGACCCGTTCGACAGAAGTATAGGGTTACGTACCAATTTTTTTTTTCTCTGTAGATAAGGAGCTTTTACCCTCAATGATACGAGGGATGTCTTTTAAGTTTTGCATATGGAAATAAAACAACACGGTAGGTAGTTTTGAATGACTTTATTGTTTTTCGAAGCATTCTCCACCAAGATTAATACACATCTGCATGCGCTCGAACCAATTTGCGAAGCACTTATTCCACTCGTTTGCTGGCAGATCCAAAACGGCATTTTTAAATGCGCCAACTGCTTCTTCTGGTGACTGGAACCTTTGACCACGCAGTGTTTTTCATTTTCGGAAAAGTTAAGAAATCGTTAGGACTTAGATCGGGACTATATGGAGGATGGTCCAATAATTCCACGTTTTCTTCCGTTAAATACTGCCTTGTTTTTTGGGCTGTGTGCGAGCTTGCATTGTCTTGGTGGAGGATGATTCTTCTTTCAGAGTTGATTTTTCGAAGCTCGGTGATGACTTTTGGTAAACAAATGGTGGTATACCAATCTGCAGTAACAGTTCGTTGCTCATTAAAAGGAATTGTTGCAATATGATCCGCTTTTGACACAAATGTCGCGACCATCTTTTTCGAAACACTTCGAGAACGGATGATTTTTGTTGACTTTTCTTCACCTTGGAACACCCAAACAGCCGACTGTCGTTTATTTTCTGATTCATAACAGTAAATGTATGATTCATCACCACTAACAATGCTGTACACATTTTTTGAGTTTCCGGAATTGAAACAGTCAAGCGCTTTTTGACACGAATTAACCCTGGCTGCTTTCTGGTCTTCAGTCAACAGGTGGGGTATCCAACGAGAAACTAATTTTCTAACTCCTAATTCTTCATGTGAAATTTTTTGAATTGAGGTATTTGATATCTTCAAGGACGTCTCAATCTCGCGATATGTCACATGTCTATCTTCAATGATGAGTTTGCGCACAGCATCGAGTTTTCCTGGGTGACTGTCGTTTTTGATGCACCCACCCTGGGATCGTCGCTAAGAGTCACCCCCGTCCACGTTTGAATTCTCCATACCAACGGGAAATTGTCGACTGATGTGGCGCTTCGTTGCCGAAAACAGACAGTAACTCAGCAAGGCATTCTTGTTACGATAATTGTCTCTGAAAGTTGTAATAAATTATGGCGCGAAAATGTTCTCCATGTGATCCAGTACTGACGTTCGATCCGCGCGGCCTACTATGTTTCTATATGCAAAACTTAAAAGACATAAAAGTGGATTCGAGCAGAAAGTAGGATAGGTAACCCGAGCGATACATATTTCTGCTTGATGGCTTCATCAGGCCCGAAATGATTGCAGATATGCAACTACAAAAGTAGACACACATGCCCATACATCCGGATACGGGTGTAACCTGAGGAAACGAGGTCGTTGATATGTAAGAGTATCGGAGCCAATATCGATCCCTGGCGCTACTGTCTGTCGCTAATCAAGCCGTGACCTTCGAGATTGTCCAGAATCTCGCCATTTATGCACCTCTCCATCACCTTACTTATAATAGGGAGCAAAACTACAGGCCTGTAGTTGTAAGGGCCGGCCTTGGAACCCTTTTTTCGGATGGGTTGGACATGAGCAAATTTTCAGTTTTCTGGGAAGGTGCCGGATTCATAAGATATCTGGAAGAGACGCGAAGAAACTGGAGCAAGCTCCGCTGCACACCTCTTCGATACAACGTCATAAATTAAGTCCGGACCTCAAGCTTTGTTGATGTCGAGCGGCAAGAGCACTCCTCTTACGGTTTATGCCTACATAGTGTAGGAAACCCTTTGAATTGTCAGTACTTGGGCGTTGCGGGAGACGTCCATGGTGGAGTTGGCAGCAAAGATCTTGGCAAGTATTCCACCTTAGCCTTTGAATCGCTTATCATCATTCCATCCTGACTCGTAAGTGGTGGAAGGCTACTGGCTGTGAGAACTTCCTGTAAATCTGCTTGGCCAGCGACCAGAAAGATCGACTGCCATTGCGCTGTGACAAGCGACATTACCCTTTGCCTAACTTTTATATCGTGCTGGTTTTTGACATGGCGAACCGCTTCGTTATATTTCTTTCTGGACTCGACGTCGACTTGTTCTCTGCAGTGGGGCTTTGTAAGATCTACTCATATTCCGTCTAAATAATTTTTTTCTGTAATAATAATTGATATTCTGGTTTGAATTACCGTTTGCAAAATACTGCCTCGCGTTTGTACCTCTCTCAGTGATGTATTGTGGGATCCCTCCTAGGGTTTCCCATATCAAACACAGATGGTCCAGGTTGGCAGAAGGTTCTTTGTCACCTTTCGGGCTGAATAACATTTCACCCGTAGCTAGTTCAAAAGTCATGCACCCTACAGACCAGATGTCAGCAGGGTAGCTGTAACCAGCTCCTAATATCACTTCTAAAGCTCTGTATTGCCTAGTTTGAATTTCGCTAGAAAAATGATGGTCCTGGAAAAATATATATGCTTTATATAGAAGACGAAAATCTCGCATTAGTGGGAGTTTTCCAGCGAATTTAGACTAGGTTGAAGGAGTAATCCTACGATTTGTTTGTCTCCAAAATCTCAGTCTGTAATCAGGATGAAAGTGCGTATTGCAAGTGGGCTTGACATAAGTAAATTTTTTGACAGTTGTATTATTAAATTCGTATTTTTGTGTTGTTAGACGATTCAGGAGTGGCACAAGCCTAATCATGGTATTTCCACCGGCAAGTACGAGTATTATTATGATGTTGATACAACGTTGTCACTTTGGTAGGCAATGGTAGTTAAATGAGTCAAAAGTATCCTCTAAAACTACGGAATTTTGGCTACAAAAAAAATGCAATGTAAACGAATAGGTTTGGCTCCTTCTAATCTATTCAACTTCGTTGGAGTTTTGCGACTCGAGTTTTTTTTTCATAATTACGTTTTTCAAAATAAAGTACAAAACATTGGTATTATTGTATTAGACAGAATTCTTTTAGGATTTTTGGAATGTTCACAATTAAAAAGGTTCTTAGTAACTTCTCCTAAACTTGATACTTTTTGACTAATAGACTATTTAATGTCTGCAAAACTCTAATAAAGGCGATTTCCAATCAATTCAAGTTAAAAATATGTTTTTCACACACTTATTCTTGGTACTGTGTATTACCACTTATTCACGTATTTGAAGTAGACACAAAGAACATGTTATTTATGAGAATTTCTCACATACGATGAGATTCAAATTTGGCTGTCGACGTGACGTGTATGAGAGAGACGAGCGAAAAGCGTGCAATATGTATTTATTTCGGGTATGAGTGGCATTCGCCCATGCTAAAATCCAGGTTCAAGTGGCAGCCGTGTAGCCGTGATGGTGGCTATCAAAAATTATTAATTAATCAATATAATATGAAAAAATCTGAATAATGACAGAATTCGACGAAAACCAACACGCAACAAACTTCATTCAACTTCAAGTAAGATGCAGAGTCAGCCTACTTGACACCGTTTGTAAGACCAAATTTCAGTATTTCGGTTTAGAATGACCCTTATTTAATTGATACGTATATAATCTGCTATTTAGAAATTCTGACACAATATTTTGCAAAGGAAGAATATCTCAATATTGATACCACAGAAATTAATAAACAAAATTGCCCTTACTAATACAAACCGGTGTAGAAGAATTCTCAGAACGGAGTTCGGCCGGCCACCAACTTCAAATCCTGGAAAAACGTCTGTCTGGTATGCAATGTTGCAATAAATTTTTTTAACAGTCTTCGCGAACCTTTTACACAGGCTTGTCGGGAGCGTTATTTTCAATGTTTTCAAAGGGAAAATGTAGATTAAGTGTTTGTCAGTTTTTGAAGTGGTTTGCGCCTTTGATTACGGGAAGAATGAAGGAAAACTTCCGAGATACCGCAGACTTCTTACACACACGGACTCTTCTCGGGATCGCAAATTTCTGTTTTCAGACGGGAAAACTCTGCCGTACCTAGGAAAATGTTGTAGTGGCATGTGGAATAAGTGTTTGTGAGTGCTAGTAGTAGTGATTTGCACATTTGGATTACGGGAAGAATGAAGGAAAACTTCGCAGAGACCAGGATCCAAAATGGCGGAAAACTGGTAAGTTTTATTTTATTTTTACGCACTGTTTGCCTCCGACCGCAATAACTACATTAATTTGTTTGAACTGGTTGCATCTTGGGGCGATCCTATTGTTAAAAAATACAGGTTGGCCCATCCATGTGTGGACGGAATATTACAGGACATTTCAGCCAAGAAATGATTTTGTGACAGGGCCGGATTAAGGGATTAAACGACACCCGCAAGTTTATTTGAAATTGCTTGCAGTTTTCTAATATCTAAAAATTGGCAACGATGAGGTTCCGCCGTTATGCATGCAAGTTAACTGTCAATTTACAAATGCAATGCAATCGTAGCAATACTCAAAAACAATGTTATATGTTAGTAATAATTCAAAAATAATTATCTACAGTTTTAACCATAACTTTCATTTTGCGTTATAAAAGATGATTATTTACCTCCCAGCAGGCATTACCCAAATCGGCGATTTTTATTTCTATATTAGGGCTAACCCACATAGGCGCATTTAGTCTAGGCTCGGCGTGTCGTCTTCTAAAATCAGTTAGTTCACCTAAAAATTTGTCATAAGGATAGGATTGTCCTCTCTGTTCTTCGTATTTCGATAATATATCTCGGTCAAGATCATCATCCCTGTCTTTGTCTACCCAACAATCTGATGCAACTGAAAAACAAAAACATATTGGAACACATATACCTTAAGGAAACGTTTCCTTTATAACAAAGGAGGATAACAAAAGTGCAATATATATAATTGAGACAAATATTCCTTAAGGAAACTTTCCATTATAACAAACTGCTACAATGAATAGCAGCAATATGTTGGAGTGGTGACGTATCTCGGTTCGCAAGGAAAGCATAGTCCTCAGTGTAACCGATGGTGCCGTCGATTCTAATAATACTGTCTGTTCGTCAATAACCCAAAATTATCCATGTTGCGATGGATGCATACATGCCTTATACAGTGACAAGTGCCTAAACCAGGGTCCAACAGCCGATTCAACGAATAGATCAAGGCACACAGAACCCAGAAAACCGGAAATTCACTTATGTCCAGTCTACCCCAAAAAAGGATCTGAGACCGGCTCTTAAAACAACAGGCCTATTATAGCTCTGTTTTCTGTTGTAAGTAAGGTGATGTGGAGGTGCATAATTCGGGAAGCTACCTTGAACGTCACGGCTTTACTAGTGACAGGCGGTGCGGTTTCCGACACCAGCGAACCACGAGGGACCTCCTTGCTTACGTCACGCACCTGTGGCGACACCCATCGAGCCTTATGGTAAGGCTCATGTCGTTGCTCTTGATATCATACAGTTTCTATGGATGGCCGAGTTCTACCAAAGAGCCGTTTATTTCGGCTAGTCGGTAGTTCAAAAATCGGATTAACAAAATTTCTTTAAGCTCCTCATGGCAGCCGCAGTGCCCTGGTATTTAGGCTTCTGCCTACGCGGCTGCTTCGGAATATAAAAAAATTGCTTTCGTCCGTTGGACCAAACAGAGCGCCAACCGTGAATGGCTGTTTCATACTTATTGGCGGCGATAACGAAAGACAGAAACAACGAACCGAAGATCAATTTTCTTCTTACAATTAGAATCAACCAAGGATTTACCCCTTATCGTTTAACCAGGTATTTTATCAACAGCTTGTGCGAATTTTGATGATCTACGTACCATAAGAACGAGGCATATCCAACCCCAATTCGGCAAACCTTTCCGTTTTTCCTATAATGCTCTTTATATAGTTTTCATCTACTTTAATAAGAATATTCTCTGGTTTTATGTCAGTATGAATTATATGACAAACGTCATGGAGGTAAATCAAGCCCTTTAAGACCTAGAAAGAAAAAAGTATTTATTGATTTTAAATTGATTTCAAGGGTCGAAATCCAGTTAGAATCTGACCCCTGGTACCTATATAAAGGATTTTCCATTAACGACTTGACAACTTTCTTTTTCAATAAAACGCAAACCATTTGAGATATCGCGAACATTTTATTATTGGATTGAAGCATACTCAAAACATCCATGTATGGAATTCGACCTCGTTAATATATTCATAATGATTTAATGTACCCCACAAAAAAAGTCTAGAGGTGTTAAATCATCCGATCTAGACGGCCATTCGAGAACTTACGTCGGTTCATATGATCAAACGGCTTTAGTTTAACGTGATCTTATAAATGTGCAGGCCAAGATTTCGCAAAATTCGCGATAGTGTGGTGTCTGAGCGATGCCGCATTCTTGACTATGAATTGCTTTATCTGCATCGTTATTATGTTTGTTCACAGTAATACCGTTTGGTTACACTTTTTCTTAATATTGATGCTGTGTATGCTTAAAATCGTTACCTGAGAAATAATTCGTCTAACACCATTCAAATGTATACCCCTAAAGTCAGACTGAATTAGTAAATGAAGAAGGGAGGGCCCCATAATCTCCATAGATATGGCAGTGTGAATTCCATTTACACTAATAAGTTTAAATGTGTCCACCATTTGAACAATATGTTTGTAGCCAATATGTGTGGGGTCCATCGATTTCGTTTCTCTCAATAGTTTGATCTCATCCTGGGCTACAACGGCGAACATCTGTGCACTTTTGCAAATCTTCAAGGCTACATATGTTGGTATTCCGCTGAAATTCAACATTTTTATAAATATATATGTCGGAATACGTTTTATAAAATATAGGACGTTCAAGGTAAGGATTCTATGCATGGGGATCTCAACACCTGTGGAACATACAGTACAGGTTAAATTAGGAAAAAGTTGAGAAACTTCATGGCTTACTCAGATATTTTGAAATAACTAATATTTGACCAAATGATTTTTTACATTTTTTTTGAGGAACATCAAGAAACTAATGAAACTTTTCCAATGCTACTTTTTAGATACTACATCATCATCAACTTATTATACGGCCCGAAAAAAAGTACACTGTATCTAATAGATTTTTTTTTAAATGAATTCAACGATGTATCACATGTTACAATTCAAAGCAGCATATGTCAGCTTGAACAAAACTTTATTAATCAAAATAAAAACCATTACGAATTCAAAAATAATTCTTATTTGGCAAAAAACCATTGGCGTACCATTTTTTTCTTAAAAAATATCGAAGTCGATACCCGTATGCACGCCACTGTTAAAGCAAAATTTTGCATTGAAAAATACGCAACTTTATTAACTTTCACTACGTACTAAATATCAGTGAAATATCTGAAGCGGTTCTGAAAATATTAATTAATTCCCATTTTTTTCCTAAAACTTCAACACCCCGAGTTTTTGTAAGGAAACATTTTTGGGCCATAGTTTATAAAGCAAACTAACATTAATTTTTCATATAGATTCACACAATTGAATATTCGCATATCATTAAGGAACAACAATGTGTTGATGCCATAAACCGCCAGAACTTTCCGAATTATACTTACTCATCCAACAGATTTTTGCACAACCAAACTGTTGAGAAATGGCCCCAACCAAGTTTTCTACACACTTTGTATTGACCTTTGAGAATGTCTCCAATATTAACAGGCATATAGCCTCCTGCATTGTAGTCCTTCTCATCTTCCTGACTCTCCCTGTTTTCGATATATCGGATTTTCTGAATATCGTCTAGGTCTAACAAACTGACATCTTTTGAGGGTGAGCTGAAATAAAAGATAAAGGAGAAAGCGCAATAAAATGATAGATATCACTTTAACTTCCCACGCTACTGGCGGAAATTTCGGAAATGAGATATCATGTTTTTGGATGCTATACGACGAAAAACCATGTCACTCATTTCCGTTGGTCTATTTGTCCATGTTTGATGTTTTAGAAGCTCCAAATCATTCTCAGAAAAAAAAATTGTACGGGTTGAAAATCGGGGGTTGTAGAGGTTGAGGAAAGGTATATCAAGTTTTGTTGGTGTCGTATATTTATAAGCTTCTAATTCCAGTACATATTTCACATATCTAAGATTACCCCGTACATTGTCCCTTATATAGAAATATTTATAGACGAGTCACTCGGTCGGTCGGGACGATGCCAAGCAGCGGCGACTTTCACACGTCGAAAACTGTCTTGCGACTGACAGCATCGCAGGCAGGGACGGCATAGTATTGTGGCTTATGACGTATTGTTCTGGTGTGGTCCAGCAGCGTTGCCAGATTGTCGGTACTTAGGGCAGGGAAGAAATTAGCGTTAGGCGTTATCAGATGGATGGGAACTGTGGAGGACACTTTTTGTAAGAACAAATGGCGTCAAGTAGGTTGACTCTGCACTTCCCACGCAACTCCGTCGTCAGTTTGGAAAAAAGCACAAATTAGACCATCCGAGAAAAAAGTTGGTTACAAACATGTACAACAGACTCAAACAAATAGACCATAAGCATTATTTCCATCCCTACGGGTAGTACCGTTCATCTGGCAATGTTGCCCCTCCCGTATATCGGTTCACACGACTCAACACAGTGGCACTAATTCGAGACCGGCACGTCTGCTGATGAACCCAGGGAGCAGAAGCAGACACGCATATCGAAAACATTTCTGTGTCATTCAAGTTTTAAGGGCAAATGTACCAGAGTATTAATAAACTTACATCAAAAAATTCAGATATACCCTCATCTAGCCCTTATAACCCCTAACAACATTTTGATGAAAATGAGCGGGAGGCTCTGAAACGTCAAAAAAACGAAGTTTGAGCGATTTTTCATCATTTGAATAAGCTGTGCACAAACACTCTGGTTTCAACTAATACTTACAAAATCATGTTCATGTGCGACTTAGATCTGTAATATAGTTTCCGGATAACTTTAACCTCAGTGACAACTTGCACGTCGATACAGTCACTTTCACCATTTTTTTCGTTGCACCCTTTGGTATGCTTGGGACCAATATTTGCAAGACACGACAAAAACATAAAAGTCAGCCACAAATGGACAAATACTGATAAGGCCAACGTTTCTAAATAGCTGATATTGTCGTTTATGTAACTTTGATATCGGATGAATGCTGTGGTTTCGTTAGGGTAACATACCAATAATTTTTTGTCTGTCATTGCGAAGGGTAGAATCAAAAAGTGAACTTTTGAGAATTGTACGAAATGTTATTTTTAGGATCTACTTTTGGCAAGCGGGAGAGACCTGTCAACTTTTTTTAAATTCATTATGGCTTATGTATTTATTGTTTTCCCTCTATGGTCAAAGCAATTCAATGCAAACTTTATTCCTTCACATGTTATTGTGTCCTCGCACTACTGCTATATTTCCGTATAACATCGCACAACACTGCAACATTTGTTATAAAAATAGCACAGTCGTATATACATTGCCATCTATTTCTCCACTGAACGTATTGCTGCTGTGAGTATTTTGAATCCCGTAACGTCATTTCCACTTCTACTATTTACCTAGACTACGAGTGCGAAGCTCTGACGCAGATCTCGAATGATATTCAAAATAGAGGGGTCGAAGTTTATTCGTGCTCGAAATAGCTTTGTATTGTAGCAGGGGTTTTCAAAGGGTTCATCTCAACGCTTCTTAAGTACTGACCCTGACCGCGACCCTGGTGAGCATTGAATATGCGACGGTTGATCCCAATATTGTGGGATAGATAGAAAGGACTTTTCAAATGATTTAGTATGCCTTTTGAAATCCTATCCTGTTTGTGGAAATGAAGTGATCCAAATCTCAAAAGTTTACTCTAACATCAGTTGTTCCACAGGGATCACCGTTAGGACCACTTCTTTTCATTATATTTATCAACGACATTGCTAACGTTTTCCTGTAGAACTCTATAGACTATCGTATGGCGATAGTCCTACGCGGCGGCCTAATTCCCGAGTGCTGATATCTGCATTGATGTCCACGATATTTAAAATTTGTTCCTCCTGCTCTACAGTAACCTGTCTTTCACGAGTGCGAATATTACTGGGCTGAACACTTCCTGTATCTCGGAGTCTTTGGTACACTTGCACTTGTCCTTCTGTCTGGGTGTACCCGTTGGAGAAATCTGTCCCGATAAATTTGAGCTGCAAGATTTGAATTCTGACGAGCTTCACCCTAAACTAACCTCATGTCGGTGAACTCTTGATTCGAGAACAGTGTAAATCAAAACGACGACGTACGCGAACAGAAACAAAATAACATGCTAACCACTGCTACCGTTTGCGATCGATTGCCGGTTCGATAAGAGTGATCATGACCGACGCGCTGTTGTCATGTGTGTTTTAAATATTCAATTTAATGAAACTTACTTATTGACTACAAATTTTGGCTTAACTTAGAAAAACTTAATGCAATTTATTTGTTAATTACCCAATTTAAAAACGTTTTAGATTAAATTATAAAAATTAGTAAAATTGTGGTCGATATAAAGCACTTAAAGTTGTAAACTATAAAGCCATTTAGACAAAAATTTTAAACATTTTTTTCTCCCAAATGATTCAGCGGTGGGCATTATCATTCCTTGTCATTATTTTTAGTTTTCGAGATTTTCTGCTTTTATAGACAGTACGAAGTCTGATTTAGGGCGGTCGCACACGCATCGTAAGCGTAGTCGTTTCGTAAGCATATCGTTACGACGCAGTGTTCCACACACGCATCGTTTTGTAAAATCTCTGTTGAAATCATGGCGGCAACAGTACCATATATTTCTGGTGTATCCATTGGTGATCTTACATTTTCTTTAGACGAAGAGGATTTTTATTGTTTGATAATGTTAGAAGTAGAAAGCGACGTGCTCATTGGATCCATCCATACAAGAAGAAAAGATTGTTTTTTGCTGCACGTGGACTTTCCGCTTTGTGTGCGGTCTTGTTAGCACACATACGAGCTCGTTTTGCTCTCGTCCTACGCGCGTTATACGATACGATTACGATACGACGCAGTGTGCGAACGCTCTTAGTTTCCAAAAGATCTTTTCAACTGTTGCATTTGTGATTAGTATTTAGGGTCCTATCTCTAAGAATTTAGTGCTTGAGGCGACGGCCCCAAAATATTTTACCAACTTTTTCTTCACACGTCAGGGCGCCTGTAACCTGGAAGTTCCGTAACGTTGATACGGCTGATAGGATCCTACCAATAACCATCACATTTAAACTTGTGTTATAATGTGAAATTCAAATAACAACACACTTACAGTGAGGGAAAGTCTCTTGTTGAGCTCTGATGTTGAGATCCTGGAGGTGACAGAGATAGCGAGAGAAAGTCTGTTCTGTCATATCTGTAGTTAATTCTCCCTCTGATCTGATCAGTTTCGATGTTCGAAGAGGCCAGCTCCTGAGACGGAGAACTGATATTCTTGTAGAACCAGGGATTGTTCCTAGAATCCGCTTCCGTATAGTATGAAGACAACCGAAATGTTTCGAGTGAAGATCTAAGGGTGAAAATTATTGACTGTAGGGGTTGCTGGTTACATCATAATCGGGAGCAACAATAATGGCAAGATCTCTGCCTGTTATTCTACAATATGGACAAAAATAATTACGTGACGTTTTCCCAAAGTTCGAGAAAACCAGAGAAGTATTGTTACTTCCAACGCCACTGGAGAGTAGGTATTGAAATTGCGAAAAATCATGTACATCACGAAAACCAATGTCGGCGTGCCTGCCTGTCCGTCAGTTAATCCTAGACCACTCTATAATTTGGACAGTATCACTCGAATTTTCATGATCCAGTGGCGGCGGCGGCAGGGGCAGAAAGGAAAAAGTATGATTTAAACCTTGGAAAACAGGAAATAGCAAATCTTTTCAGGAGCAATCAATACTTGAACATTTTGAATATGGTACACAAACCTGCTAAATATGCAAATTTTAGGATTGACGCAGGTTCCCAGGGTGTATGGGGCTGACACCTGACCTGGCTATCGCACTGAAGGGTTCCATTTGAACTGATATGTAGGGAAAATGTCGTGGAATTATTTTTGCATCCGACTGTACATGAACTCTATGATTATCCAGATCCTCTGTATACTTACCTGTACCTTTCTTTAGGATGATTCTTGGATGTTGATTTCTTTTTGCAATAGCTGTCAAATGATACGGATTGTTGCTCCTGGAATGTAGATTTGGGCTTGAGGCTATGAATGGTGTCGAAGGACTTGTGTACGTCCAGGTGACTGAAAGTATGGATTTTGCATTTTACAAGTGAGAAAATGTAGATGTTTCATATTTTGAAGTTATTTCGACATATTTTCGAGCAATCATGGCTAATTCGATTGGACTGAAATATAGATACGATGGTAATTTTCCAAAACGTTTAATCTAAGATTTGTGAGCCATTATTCATAAAAATGCCTTCTGCTGAATACCGTAACTCAAGATAGAATAGAGGTAGAATGAAGCTATATTTGATTCATATTTTTTATTATTCTATTAACATCTCCGGTACTTCGATTGCCTCCCGGTGATTATTTTGATCACCCGCTGAAAATCAGTCATACTGTAAAAGCTTGCCAGGCAATTTTTGCGCTCACTTGTTACCTTACTCATTATCAACTGTCCAATTTTGTGATTACCCACCCTATCTGTATATTAAGTGACATTGAAAAAACATTCAGTAATAATGAACTTGTGGGGTTAAATACAGGTGAGATCGTTTCAATACAGATTTGATTGGTTTAGGAACATTTTGTGCGTGTAATTTATGTCGGGTGGTATGGCTAGGTCTGATTGTGTCGCATTAACTAATAATAATTTTGTGATGGTATGTGCATCATTATACAAGTCATCAGTTGGGTATAATTTTGATTTATCAAACATTGATTTTAGAAATGTTCTTTGAAGCACGTCTAAATCGTTGATATAAGTCGAGTCTGCAGATCACAATATCGTATGTTATGTGTGGCTTGAGTGGGGATCTAGATACATTCCTTAATAATTTGTATCATAGATTTTTTATTGTTTACCTTGAAGAGCAGGTGGTTATAACTAGGAAGTTTGTATCGTATGAAAATAGCAGATTATTATTGCAAGTAACAGGTCGTTAATTTCTAGCTATGCTCAAGAGCTTAAACACTTTCTATAAAATGATACATCCATAGAGACTTGAACCGATTGATTTTTTCATAAATCTGTTCGATACATAGATAGATTCGGAAATAATGAATTCAAATCACGAAATAGATTGATTGTAAACGTAAATGGATTTCGAATAGGTATAACACAATTTTTACCTTGTATAGAGGGTGCTTCGGCTCGACTTTGGCACTTCTGGAGCCAGAATGATAGTTGTTTGGACCTTGAAGTTTCTAAAAAGCGTTCGATTAGCACAGCACTGATTTTCGGGTATGCCAGAGGTGTTTTAAACATAATGATTCCCTCAATGTTTATGATATGTTCCGAACCGCGACATATAGGCTGGCGCGGCACCCCTTGACTTAGAGAGGCTTGTGCGCATATCCGTGCTCCAAGCTCAGGGCGCTTGTGCCGATACGGTTTATCAATATTGTTGGGAATGCAATGATTGCGACTCTTGTTGCATGTATACCGTTTTATCATTACCCGGAGTATTGAGTTAAATATTAAACTCGTGCATAATGAAAACATTCAAAATTCCGCAGCAGCAATTTTATAAGGCGCTTTTATGTGCTCGAAAAATAGTATATTACATACCTTAGTGGAGAAATACTGATATCCTCCACCGAGATGAATATAGATTTTTTTCACTAATAGCTGATAGGTATATTACGGTCGGGCTAGATCAGAATAAATATATCGCATCGCTGAAGCTATTTTTTAACACGCTCATATTAGCTTGGACTGTATGTATGTATGTAATGGAATTTTTAGGCATAATTTTCACCAATTTCCAGAAGTTTGATTAATGTGAAACTTAGCACACGTATCAAGGACCGACCATTATCATTATAAGTAAAATTCTGTAAAAAGCAGATATGTTAATAAAAGCCACGTATTACAAATGTCGCTTTACGAATATTGAAACTACAAGGCTCTCTATCTCAGAGGCAGAGCGCTGGTCTTGTAAACCGGGGGTCGTGAGTTCAATTCTCACAGGAGGCAGATTGTGGTATCCTTTTTTTATTTTTGTTTTAACACGCTTTTATTAGTAAGTTAGTATGGAACGGAATCTTTGAGCATAATTTTCACCAATTTCCAGAACTTTGATTAATTTGAAACTTCGCACACGTATCAAGGCCCGATGACAATGTAATAATTTGATAACAGTTTTCCATTATCCTCATTAGGACCGCCAGGATTGATAAATTCTTTTATAGATCCTCTGTAGGGGGAGTACGAGAGATAGAGCTAGCGCGCGATCCGCGCATGCGTGCAGTTTCGGACTTACTCTTTGTTGGTTCGGACACTCGGCACTGCACAATCGAGGCAGATACTTTTTCAAGGTAGTGCATTCTCACCTTGTTCATTGCGAATGGTGCGTAAGACATTTCAATATCACATGTCCACAAAATACTAATTGATAAACCGAATGAAAAATAAATAATAGTTTAAGCAGCAGCGGTGGCCGCAGTAGTAGACTCTTCGGTCTCCTGATCAGTCGCCGTGCGCTGTGCGGGTTCGAGTCCCGTCCCAGGAGACATTTTTCTCTTGGCTATGGATGTTGTGATTCTCCGTAGGTGGTCGACGGTCTCTGACTGTCGAACGCGGAGGTACCACCCGGCGGATCTCGTATGCGGGTCCAGAATGTGTGCATGTTGCATGCACACGTGTTCCCTCGTCAGAGTCCGTGTGGCATCCCCTCCTTTCCCATGTATCCTCGTATATAGCCCCACGGTACCCAATGGGTGCTTAGGCCTTAGACCTTCGTGGTAGTTGGAGTATAAAAAAAACTAAAAAAAAACATGCTTTTATAGCTAACCGAGTTAAAAAGTAGAAAATAATTTTGAATCACAGTTTATATTAGAGTAGTAGATGGTTGAACAATCAATCATTATTAATGACCTCTCAAAATAAAATTATAATAAAATTTAAGTTCTTAACAGAATAATTCAATTCAGAATAAAAAGCGTGGGGTGCATTTTACTACATTTTCATAACTCTCCTCTCATAGATAGTTGGCAATAGAATGATAGCAACATTTAATATATCTAGCATCCCACGCTTTTTACTCTGAATTGAATAAATTATTCTGTTTTTAATTTTATTTTGAGGTCATTGATAATGATTGATTGCTCGACCATCTACTTCAAATCGGTTAGCTATAAAAGAGTTTTTTTCAGTCTTTTAAAACTATTATTAACATAGAGCATGGATAACTGGCCGGGGTGGCAGCACCCCAAACATGTGATCAGAACTCGAGGCTAGGTCTTATCTGGGCCTTGTACAGAGTACCGAGGTCATGTAGAGAAAAGGCCCCAGTGATCTGAACTTCGACCAGCCGAAATAAATTGCTCTTTGGTAGAAATCGGGCATCCATCGAAACCGTATTATGGCTAGGGCGCTTTTTGTCATCCAATGTACAGTACTGTGTTTTGGAAGCATCAAGCTGTACTAGTTGCTGTTGCGTTCCCAAGCAGAGATAACCTCCAGGTCTGTCTTCAGAGAAGAATTCGCTGCTAAACTTCTTTTCTCCATCTCACCGGCAGAGATGTTTTTGACACGCTGAATTCCTGCGTGTCATCGGCAAAGCTATGAATGCGATTGATTGATTGCGCTAGAGAGGAGGTCGTTAATATGTAATAGAAACAATGTTGGGACCAAGACTGACCTTTGGGGAACACCCGCGTTGAAATTGTAGGACGAAGAGGGAGATTCGGTAGTTACTATAAATAGGAAGTTAACCGCGCTCATATGAAAGCTTCTCTGGAAGGTCATTATAGTTCAAATTTTATAGGGTTCCTCATCTACTGCCCCCCTGAGGGTCTGTTGCCGACGATTGGGTCTGATGGAGGGAGTGGAAATAAAACAACTGGCTGAACGTCTTTAAAAATGTAATAAATTTGGATCATGTGTAACACATCTGAGGTACATAAAAACCTGTAATAAATAAAATAATGCAATTTGTTGAAATTTTCAAACAATCTGTTTTTTGTCTGGAAATAATGTTGACTAGAAGCTGATTATACAAACTAATGTTCAGACTTAAACTTAAATAAACAGCAGTATCAAAGCAGTACCTAGTACTTTGGCAAACGAGATACTCCGTTCAATTTAAACATTGTTTTATATCAAGCTTACATTAAATCACTTATATGATCAAATAGAGACTGTGTGTACAATACATTTTACAGTTCTTTCTCGATTTTGATGAGCTCCTGGATGCCATCGTACATCTCTTTGACAGCGTCGAATTCAGTGAGTCCCATACGCCTCTTGTTTGAGATGTCGTAGATACCACCCTCTGCTTCGGTGTGCTCACCGCGAGTACCGCGTACTTGCAGGTTGTACTTGCTGGCTACCTCCTCGAGTTTGGCTTTGTTGGCGGCCAGCTTGGGTACCTTGATGTGAACAGATGCACGCACTGTGGTACCCAAGTTGGTGGGGCAGAATGTTAGGAATCCAAGCCTGAAAAAAAAAAACAAAATTGAGTTAGATGAGAAGCTACACTCAGCCAAAAACTCCTGTACAATTTTGGAAAGGACAATATTTCAAATTACTGTTTTCAAACCAAGCTTTTATCAGCTTGGCCTGTATGTATGTAGCGGAATCTTTGGGCATAATTTGCACCAATTTCCAGAGGTTTGATTAATGTGAAACTTCGCACACGTACCAAGGACCGATGACAATGCAATAATTTGATAACAGTTTGCAATTATCCTTATTAGGACCGCCGGCATTGACAAATTCTTTTATAGATCCTCTGTAGGGGAGTAAGAGGAGTAGAGCTAGCGCGCGATCTGCGCATGTGTGCAGTTTCGGACTCACTCTTATTCGGCACAGCAGATACTTTTTCAAGGTAGTGGATTATCACCTTGTTCATTGCGGATGTTGCTATTAATCCTGAGTAGGACTTCGACCGTCCACCAGACGCAGGTTGTACAGTCGATCATGCAGTCATTTATCTAGGCTCGCGACTATTTGCTGTTGGACAAGCTCGTTTAAGCTTTTACCTTTTTTGTCACTCAGTATACAGGTATAAAGCATCGTTCGCGTGTGGCCACCAATAAAGAAAATTTATTTTTAGCACCCCACAGTCGCATATTTTTGCAGTTTTTCACTAAATAATTCATGTGAAATAACGACGGACTTAGCGTATTTAGCGACCCAAAATACGTACGATAGAAAACATTTGAACCTGTAGAGGAATTACTTAACGACCATGTTGCCTAGAATACTGCAACTCGCATTGCGCCAGCATGCATTGTGGGTTGCAAGCTGCCGAGGTACTTGATACAAGATGTGACTATGAAAATATGGACGCGAGTCTAGATGGTTGTGTATAGAAATAGTTATAAGGTTTTAATTACCTGTCATGGTGAGAAAATGGCAGACGCTTTTCGATGTCATTGACACCAGTAACAAGACGCCTGAAGACAGCTCCCAGATCACCACCCATTTGCATGGAAATGATACGCAGATGGTCCTCCTCATTGCACCAGACCAAGAAGGTCTTGGCATCGTTGTGGTAGATACCACGACCAGTAGGCCAGAAACGGCAGGCATTTGCAGCCTGCAAGAAACGATCACCTTCCTTGAACAAGAAGTGGTCGTCGATCAGTTTCTGCTGAGTATCCTTGCTCATGCCGGTCAGGGGGTAGAAGGTTCCTTTCAGTTCACCTGAAAGAAAAAAATGAAAGTTAAAAAATCATATCAAAACATTCGCCCGGCAAAACATTATGTCACTTGGGGTAATTCCATAATTATCATCTATGGTCAACAATATCATTTTTTACTGCCACAACAATAAATCGTTCTTTTCTCCCCGCCCAGTAAGCAAAACTCGTATTGATCTTACCTTCAAGGCCAGAAAGAGTAGAGGAAACTTTCTGTTCCATCTCTTTGTACTGTTCCTCAGTAAGGCAAGGATTGAACGGATAACCTTCAAGTGACCTTCCGCAACGCACACGGGTGGATACCACGAATTCGCCAGCGGGGTCCAAGTCACCGAAGACGCTGACGTCACCCCAGTTCTTGGGGGATGTTTGTCGGTCTTCTTGAAACCCGCATGGTAGTCCTCAATGATGGGGTCGAAGATATCTGCAAATACAGAGTAGGCCTCGGCATCCGGAGCGTAGATACCAACGCCGGAATCTAAGTTCTCCAAGCCTGGAATATAATAAACAAGTTAGCAATTTTTATTCTATCAAAATGAATCACGAAAGCGAAAACTTTTCTAAGGGGCAACAATTCAAGAGATGATGTCATGGATCATTCTGGGACTATTTTGTCTTGTGACGATATTCAAAATGACGCTTCGTCTTAAAAATATAATTCAGTTTCCAAATTGTTCACGGTTGTTGTAATTGGGAAGAGAAAATTCAAATACATGATCCAAAGGTAGTTTTAAAAAAACTTACCAGATTGGATGCAATCAAGGAGGGTTGATCCAAAAGTGGGGGTTTTCTTGGTTTTCAGGTTATCGAAGACTTCCTGTGTCAGATGCTTCTTAAGGAGTGATTTGGAATCAGATTCCTTCAGTTTCTTGAAACCGGTTTCCAGTTTTTCCAAGACAGCTGCGTCAACCATGGTGGTAGATTTTCTGGAATAAAATTTCTGCTTCAAAATTTCAGTTTACCTCTAAGTGATTATTGAAAAAAATCTCGCATTCTTGGGAGCAATTAGACGAATCGATAGGAAAATATTATCAGACTAGGAGGATATCGATTTGAGGTGAATGTTTGATGTAACCGAAGCGTTTCTATTACAGCGATTAAATTATAATTGATATTAGAATATAACCCAATTCCCATATTGAACCCAAAGAAAACAATGGGAAAAATGTTGGGTACGAAGGTGGTTAGAAAGATTCGAAAATAATCTCACCCCATCAGGATCTGTTGGGATTTCCAAAAAATTCTTGCGTATAGTGGAGTCATTTTTTCGTCTTTTCAATTTTTTTTTCGGAACCTGTCAAAGATTTTGAAAAATCGTGTTCACAGACTGATAGAGAAATTGAAAAAATGGTTAGTTTATAGAAAAAACTGCAGTTAAATTTTATATTAGTAAAAAATGGCGTCAAGTAGGTTGACTGTGCAGTTTCCACGCAACGCTGTCATCATTCATAAAGGATTATGTTCAGCACAAGTTAGAACCTATCAAAAAAGACAGTGCCATAGACCTTATATTCTATATAGAGGATAGATGCAATGCTTCCGTTCGTTGTCCCAGAGACGGAGATTTCACCATGCTGTCAGAAAAGCAAGAAGCATCTGTCTATGGGGAAACGAAAGAAGCATGTTGGAGTCAGACCCTCTGAGAAAAAAGTTAGTTCCAAACATGTATAACAGAGACATTAAATGGATCAAGTCCATCAAACAGGTCCATACAATTTAGTCCTTAGATGTTTTTTTCCTTGCCGTACCCGCAGTACCGTCCATCTGGCAACGTCGCCTCCCCCCGATACCTGATCGCACAACACGTCAGCCCGGTCACTTACGAAGAATGGCACGCCAGCCGGTGAAGCTAGAGAGCAAACGTAAGGACTAACACTAAATACTCGTATTCTAGCATCAAAAAATTGCGAAAATACGGAGTCGGAAAATGTCTCCCACGAATGCGAGATATATTATTTGACATTGAGGTATATATATGGATTGCGTTATGGAATTGGAAATACTTATACCTTTCCAAGTAAAATAACCAATATCAATAAAATATTCATTAACAGACAACAATCAATACTTTTTATGCTGCATTGCAGTATCATGAGAACCTGATAATATATTTCGAATCAATATACATTTCAGATACTCTAAGTCAACTTACAGATAATTGTGGTAGATCCAAGGATCAAGTATCAAACTTAAGGGGACAGACATAATCAGGGAATATTTTACATGTTCCAAAATCTTTGCGTATTCATTTTTTTCTAGGATTCAGTAAAACACCCAAACCATGTTTTTTTTGTTCGCTTTCAAAGTTCCTGGTAATTTCAGGTGAATATTTTGAAAATCGGCGTTTCTTTGGTAGTTTTTCAGGAATGTCAACCCTATAAAATACTGGAATAGCATGAAATAAAATAGATTGTAGATTATATAAATATTATTCCCGTATTTTCTATATATTTAAACTATATACAGAAAAGTAACTTCTTGTTATTTAATGTACAAAAATGAGAATGGATTTTTCAAATAAAGATGTGAGCATATATTGTAAAAAATTGATCTGATACCCTATCAATGCGGCTTTTATAATATTTCAGTTCAGCATTTGTACGAAATCTGTGAATTTTACCTATTTTCTTCAAAGAATCATTAATTTGAAACTAATATATTTTCAACTTTCTCTTTCACCCTACTAGAGATGGATTCCCACCACTGAAATGTAGCCTGGATTTCTAATATTCCTATTGTAATTTAGCGTCAATCTATGTAATATCATCAAAAATATAACCCCATAGAAAACTCAACGCCTACAATGTTATTCTTGCAGTAGAAACAACTGAAAAATAGCATACACATTGAAGAAATACATACAGGTAAACAACACAAAACTGAAAGCTTCCACCTACAGACACTTGTAGATTCTTGTCTTTTTGAATCATTCTCATTTGAATTTGCCTCAAAAAACCTTCTTGTTGTTTAAACTGTATGTGTGAATATACCGTATTTGGGATTTCAATGTTCCGCCAAAAAAATATTGAGCAAATCAACAAACTGTGGAATTAAAGCAAATATCATACTTTAATTGAAACATTATGATGGAACTATGGTAATCATTAAGATTTAGGTACAATATGCTTCAAAATGAAGAAAATATATACTTCCCAAGCTCTCTTCCCCTATTTTCACTACAAATATCAACAAACCTTTGTATATGTAACTTGAATAACAATATACCTACTCGTACATTGCTACATACACGATATACAGGGTGGCACATCGAAAACGAAACAGACGCATTTAGTGGCAGCTCAGTTTTTTTAAAAAATGCTCAGACCGGTCGATTTTATTTCCTAGGGGGACACAAGTTTGGCAAAAAATCACGTTAGCACGTGCAGCCCCCTAAGCGGGGGTGACACCACCACCTAAATCTTAAATGGAAAGGGGGGTCGAGTGATACCTTATTTTGAAGGTCTTTCAATTCCCTTTATAATGATGTAAAATACATGAGCTTCAGTTCAGTAGTTTTGAAGATTTATTGATTTAAAGGTTAAAGTAGACTTTTCTATTCAACACTTGCTTTTCCGACGAATGTTCCTTTTTCTTAAATGGCGTAGTTAATCGTCATAACTGCCGATATTGGTCCGATTCTAATCTCAGAATTTATCATGAGGTTTATACACAGCAGCCACAAAAATTAAATGTTTGGGCTGATATTTTTGGCGATCATTTAGTTGGTCCTTTTTTCTTACCTGGAAATGTGACCGGTGAAATGTATTTGGAATTACTGGAAGACGTCATAGATCCTGCATTAACAGCCATAATTGAAAATCAGAATGATCGGCGGTACATTGCGAATAGGTTGATGTTCCAACAGGATGGTGCACCACCACATTACGCATTACGTGTTCGACAATATTTAGATCAGACGTTTCCAGATCGATCGATTGGTAGAAGAGGTGCCATTGAATGGCCCCCTAGATCGCCAGATTTATCACCTTTGCATTTCTTTATGTGGGGTCATTTAAAAAGCAAAATCTATGCTACTCATCCAACATCATTAGAAGACCTGCGACAAAGAATTGTGAATGAGTGCCTTCAAATTACTTCTCAAATATTGCAAAATGTGCGGCAACGCTTTGAGCAAAATCTTTATTATTGCATGGAGAGTAATGGTGGCCATTTTCAACATTTACTTGCCTAACGGATCAGTTCATTCTTCATTTTTAAATTACTTTGCTGCCAAATATATTGATCTCCACTAATGATGATGTATTAGTTTTATTTAAGCTTTAAATCAATAAATCTTCAAAACTACTGAACTGAAGTACATTACTTTTATATCATTATAAAGTGAATTGAAATACCTTTAAAATAAGGTATCACTCGACCCCCCTTTACATTTAAGATTTTAGGGTTGGTGTCACCCCCGCTTAGAGGGCTGCACGTGCTAACGTGATTTTTTACCAAACTTGTGTCCCCCTCGAAAACAAAATCGACGGGTCTGAGCGTTTTTCCAATAAAAACCTGAGCTGCCAGTAAATGCGTCATTTTCTCCTGATACCAAAATCATAATATCATCTGACATACATAATGAATATTAAGAAAGAAACTATTTTCCTTAGTTAACACTAAAAACCCAAATACCGTATATTCACCAATATAGAAAAGTGCTGAATTCTATTTAATCTAAAAAAATAACCGTGGATTTTTCAAATAAAGCTGTGAGCATGTTTTGTAAAAGATTGATCTATTACAATTTAGCATTTGTATGAAACTCGAATTCAAACTATTTTTAAAGGCTTATTAAACTGAAACTAATATTTTGAACTTCGTCTTTAACTATTCTAGAAACGAATTAATTAATCCACTGAGACGTAGCCCGGATTTCTAATATTCTCATTCCCCGGGGCTAGTCAACAAGGGTTGTAATTTAGCATCAATATATGTCTCATCACTCCTTCATCCCTTCAACAAAACTTGAACCCTATATAAAACTCAACCTCAACGCCTGCAATACTATTGTTGCAGTAGAAAAAACAAAAAAAAATAGCATAGACATTGAAGAAATGCATACTTGTCAAGAGTGTACAGGAAAACACGGCAACACAAAACTGAAAGCTTCCACATACAGACATTTGCAGAATTCTTATTGACGCATGCACAAGACAACAGGAAACACAGGATTCGAAAGTACAAACCCGGCATCTTCTTCTTTTTGTTTTTTAGCATTATCCTTAGACGCACACCCTCCCATTTCGAATGTCTAAGCGTAAAACCACTTCAAAACTACAACCAAACGGGGTAAACGAGATTCCGGCATGAGGTTTTGGTTAGGAGCCGAAGCCGACGCCCTTTTGGTTTTCCACCGGACGGAAACTTGGGAAAGTGGTTAGGTTGCAGTATCCTGTCCAATTTTCCAACCCCGTTCAACACTCCACCTACTGACTGAGCGTACAATCCTGGAAACGCGGCGTATCCAACATCTGCCAGTGTTGCCAATTGGGTTTTTAATCATCCCTCAAGCTGTGTCTAACAAGGGATCGCAATAGACAGTCTCCAGGCGTTAGGAAAAGAACCTTTTCTACGCACCAGTTCACGATATGTACGATGTAACTGTAATTTTTCGGAAAACAGAGCTTGATCATTTTAGTCTGTCATTCCCCTGATGCATTTTTCTTAATAGACTTGAAAGTTTGTACGAAGGTGGATCAAATATAAACCGAAATTTTACAATTACTTTTCTTTGCCAATCACGAGCGCTCTCATAGCGTAAGTCATTGCAGTGTAGTGTATTAGGAGTGGGGATAACCGGATAACGGGTGGTGAGCTGTTCTACTCAGTCAACGCCTCAACGCGTCAGTACTTCCATGAGCTGGCAAACGGTTCCACCGGCCGTTGCGCAACGAGTTACGAGGGCTGTTCAATAAGTACCCTT